AAGCACAGATGACATGAATTATATTTGATTAATGAATGTGGAGCACATAATTACAATTCACCATGAAAGTCGATACGGTTAAAGTGATTACCATGATTACGATGACATGAGAAATTAATGTCTAAAAACAACAATTTAAAAAACTTAAAGATCTTTTAAAATAACATTTTATTTGTACTAGTCTTTATAGTGAAAATTTTTGTTCAGTTTCCTATGTTAAGGAGGCAAGACAATATAAATTTTAAAGGAAAATTTGTTGTCGAAGATTTATCGAAAGATATACAGTTCAAGAATTATTACTATGTTAGGACATAGCTGTCTAGTCTATTTGTGCATTTATAACAAGTGTAAATATAGAAAAAGATAATAAAATACAAAAAATAAAATACACGTTACAAGATTTAGAAGACAAAACATTCTATAATTTATATTTCTGATCTTCGTCCGTGTATATTAAAATACGAATTTGCATAAATATTCGCAGTCTGTTAATGACACTATGCGATCAGTTTCTGTTTGAAAGAAAACAATTCATCACATAATTTCTCTATAAACTACTTCTCGAATACTTCTCCTTTGGTTTTCCCATTAAAGTATCGCGCCCCCTGAATCGCGTTTCCGATCCTGATAAAAATAAAATTCTTCGAATTTACGCGACGTTCCGATTTGCAGCCTGTGCGCACGTGTAAAAAGCGGAACCATCAACTACCGGCGAGGTCATTTTATACAAATCAATACTGAACACAGTTTGGTCCGAATGTGGTTTAAACGATTGGTCGACGAGGGGGTTCGCGGATCGGTCGAGTGGAGTTTCCAGCGGGTGTTGTTGCCACAAGAAACAGCGGGAAAGAAAACGCCTGGCGAGGGCGATGCTCGCGAAAAGCTGTGGCGGCGCTCGTTGAAATGCAAGCTCTTTTATAACGCGCCACTGGGCTTACACGCGCACGGCGCTCGTTAACCCGGCCATCAGTTTCACGCATGGCGCTGCAAAAAAGCATGACGACAGCACCAAATGTACCCAGGCTCTCTCCCGCTGTTGACTTTTCCCCAACGCCCCTTTTTCCCGCATCCACCCTGCGCCCCCCTTTGCCGCGATCCTGGCTAGCTGTCCTTTTATTCCTGATTTTTCAATTTCTACCCTTTGCATTACGTTTCCACGGCGGCGCGGTCGCGAATCAGTGAATCCTTCCGTCGCTGGTACCCCGATTATTCGGCTGGATCGAAGCGATTTTGATCGACCAACAGAGAAGCGTTTGATGGCACGTACTTCGTAATAGGAGACGGTGTTAGTATCGAATTAATTGGAATTTTGAAGACGTTGAGGTGCGAGGATCTAGTTATAGTTGTTGGAAATCGGCAGTGGTGCCACCGGGGTTAGGTTGTTGGAGAGGGTGCAACCAAAATATATAGGTGTCTGAACCATTTTTGTGGAGAGTGTCAGCGATTTGTTGGGTTTGATGATGGTATTTGCCTTTTTTTCGAGTGTATTCCATCGACTATGGAGGCTAACAAGGGAATCTACCTGTTTACATTGTTTATTATTTTATACCTATACAAATGTATTTACGTATGCGTTTGACTGCACATCCGCATTGTTTGAAATGTCATTGGTAAGGCGAGCTCAATCTATTAACATTATAAAACCATCGAGGTCAACGCTTATATATTTGGAATATTTGAATACGAGTGTTTTATTCTCCAATTTAAACATAATATACATTATTAACTCTAAAGATAATGTAGACGAAAATTATCATTCAAAATTTGAAGTATAACTCCAACTGAAAATAATGAAAGAATGTATGTGTGTTATGTATGTATGTGTTAACACTAGTTTCCAGCCAAAATGTACATTCAATGCAACAATTTTTTTTCTTATGTATTTTGCCTTACTAAACTCGAAAATCGCAAGAAAATATTTTTCTATGGATAGGTTTCTTTTATATGAATTTTTAAATTTTTTTTCGATTTTTTTCTGATATACGTTCACATATTAGCCCATATCTTGAGTTAGAAACGTCCGATCGAGTCGCGCAACCGAATTTGCAAGAATTGCTTTTAACATTATTTTCCAATCGGTTCAATAGTTTAAGTGTTACGAGCCAATATATATGAGAAACTTTGATTTTTTCAGCTAAAATAGAATACGAATATTTCTTCCTTCGCCATGGAAAAATAGAAATTGTCAAATTATGTCCAGTTTCTTATTGTTTACGTATAGATCGTACTTTTACGAAGAAAACAAACTTTTGTTGAAGAAAATCTATGGATAAATATCGGTGTTAGGAACAATTGAGTAAAGGTACAAAATCCCAATTTTACTCTGTTTTTGATTTTTTTTCCTATTTGTATAGGAAACATTTATTTAATTAATTTCGATTAAAAATAATTTCAGCCTTTGCTTTGTCTTCTATTATTCGTTGGGTTCGTTTCTCTGATGAGGAACCAAATGTAGTCTCCCAACATTCTTTCATCCGAATATCCTTGATAGCGCTGCCCAATAGTTTTTATATCTTGGTGAAACCTTTTGCCGTGTTCGTCACTTATATCGACAAGATTCTCCGGGAAAAAATCCAAGTGAGATTGTAAAAAATGAATTTTGAGCGACATATTTACGCCTGTTGAAATTAAAATTGAAATTAAATGTACAAATTTCTCTATTTTGTGAAATCAAATAGAATAACAATACATATTCCATACCCATTTTTGAATAATTTATTACCAAATCTTCAACAACTTCCTCATAAATCATACTTTTCCGACCCAGAAGCCCTATACTATTCAGCAGCGCTAACAAGGATATTCGGATGAAAGAATGTTGGGAGACTACATTCGGTTCCTCATCAGAGAAACGAACCCAACGAATAATAGAAGACAGAGCAAAGGCTGAAATTATTTTTAATCGAAATTAATTAAATAAATGTTTCCTATACAAATAAGAAAAAAAATCAAAAACAGAGTAAAATTGGGATTTTGTACCTTTACTCAATTGTTCCTAACACCGGTATTTATCACCGTAACACTTAAACTATTGAACCGATTGGAAAATAATGTTAAAAGCAATTCTTGCAAATTCGGTTGCGCGACTCAATCGGACGTTTCTAACTCAAGATATGGACTAATATGTGAACGTATGTCAGAAAAAAATCGAAAAAAAACTTAAAAATTCATATAAAAGAAACCTATCTATAGAAAAATATTTTCTTGCGATTTTCGAGTTTAGTAAGGCAAAATACATAAGAAAAAAAATTGTTGCATTGAATGTACATTTTTGTTTAATTTTGTAAACTAGTGTATTTGTAACATGAATCCTATTCTTTACTAAAGCAATGTTAAAAGTTCTAACGAATACTACTCGTATTTCTTCCAGAATTACATATTTCAGCTTCTAGCTCTATATATACCTCAACTCAATTGGAAGTTTTCTGGACGAAAAATATATTGAAAAGGTTCAGATAATACAATTGCAAGATCAAAAATAATTTTACTACGTTCACCGCAAAATGTTTCGGTCCCATTGTGAACCGCAGACCAAACAGTGTGCCAATGAATTGTGGCCGATGTGATGCGCAATTGTACATGGTCGGGTTTCGAAAGATATGCAGGTTATAATTTCTATACGCGGTGTTCAAGTATTCTCAGTACATCTACGAAGATGATACTTCATTCTGCTAAATCGAAACTTGAAAATATACAATTAAAATTTGTTGTAACAGCTTCCGTTACCGAGAAGAATATTTTGCAAATTGTATTAAAATATGCAGAATACGCAGTTACGCGAGGATACGTTATTTGTGAATAATTAGTTGTTTGTTGGAGTAATAATGTATTATGAGCTTTAACTGGCAGAATATTGTACTCACATCAAAGACATGCGTTGTGTACAGATTACGTGCAGCAGAATTAATTATAGAAGAGGAATGACGGGTATTTAATAAGGAATACCTTGCAAATTGAATTGTTGAATTTGTTAAACGTTTAAATGTCGTTAAATTGCTGACATAATGTTGCTCGGATATCAAAGATACTTGGTGTGTATGGGTTGTACGAATATGGCTCATAATTCATTATGAAAATTCACTGCTTTACGCACGGTGTCCCAGGAATTGTAATACATATAATCAAAGAGATTATGTTTCATTAGCAGAAATTAAATTCATTTTCATTTATTTTAATCCGACCCTTAAATTTAACTTTTGTTTAATTAAATTCGTTTCATTGATTTAACTTGGTTAGAGAAGTAATAAGAATTGGACGAAATATATTCGAGATACTTGGTTTTGAACTGTCGGAATAAATTTTTTTTTAAATAATGAACAAAGAATTTAGAAATTTAAAAAAGAATTAGAATTAATGAAATAATATGAAACAAATGAACAGTAATTTCATTACTCGAATTCTAGTTAGTTCGAGATAATTTTATTCTAAATAAATTTTTGAAATTAAAGAAGAAGTTGAGTTGATCGAAAGTAAATTCAAAGATATTAAAGAACAAAAATGTGTTTGTTTGAGAGAAGCTTCATAAAATTAAAAATGAAGGAATTTCTTAAACGAGACCAAAATGAAAAAGAATCTTTTATTTCAAATTTCTGATCCTTTTCAAAATTACGTACTGTTTTCATTTTAACCAAATTTAAAAGGTTTTTCAAGTAAGATTAAGATAAACATTTTTAACTTGATTAGAAAAAATATAATATTCAAAACACTGCCCATATTGCAGCATACAGCGTCATAATTGCAACTTATAATTATCTAATAAAGTACAGTCATACTTGACAGTCGTTTTTCTTGATGATTATAAATCGCATATACAAATTTCTATTTTATTTTTCCTTTATTTTTAAGCAAAATTACGCATCTCTTAGTTGTACTACGACTGCTTGGACACACTGTACATTGATGAGTGGCGAATCGCGCGAACGCGTTAACGACCGTCGAGAATTTTCGTATTCACGCGAAACGGTGGCTCCCGCTGACAATAAATTTCTCCCTTGTTCCAGGACTGCTCAGGCTACAGCAGATCTATCAAGGCTTGAAACCGGGGAACGAGTCGTTTCAGGTGGAAACCGTCAAACGAATACAAAACATGTCCGAGGCGATTGATTTCCTGCGCAGCTTGGAGGAGCTGAATCGGTGAGTCTGAGAGTGATTCATTCAACACAACCTTTAGAATTCGGGAAGGACTTTCATCGACAACAGAACGAAATCATTTCCGTTAAATGTAGAGTCACGATCAATTCAATGCATGTTGTATCAAATTTAAGAAATAATTCTCAAATGGTGTGTCAGATTTATGACAAATTATTAGTATAAGATTTATTAAATTATCCATTCAGAAACATATGTGTCAAAATAAAGACCAATGTATAGAGTCACAGTTAATTTATGTCAAATTTAAGAAATAATTGTCAAATGTTGTATCAAATTTATGTAAACATATTTAATATAAATCGTAACAACCCCATTCGTATTACTTTAAATAAATACATAAATACAACAAATATATGCAATAATATATACGTAATTATTTACTAAATATATAAATATACATATGATAAATTTGAAAATGATATACAAATTATATAATAAAATATATACTATATTTATATAATGAAATTATAATAAATAAATATATAAATAAAATTTAAATTCGATGTAATGTTTAAACAAAATTACTTTAAACCAACGGTACGCTTTGATTATATTTGAAACATATTACCGTGCTATTTGCCTAATTAATTTTGTCCACCGGCAATAATAGACAAAATATCGGAAAAGGTCGGAACGAACAACTCAAAAGGCCGCATACGGCCTGTGGACCGCAGATTCCCCATCCTGGGTATAGGCTATTACTTTTGGGGCGGTGAACTCTGTCCGCATTGGTAGAGTCTGACGGATCACGCTTTTGTGGGGATACGAGTGGTCGCCGCGTATCTCGGTCACAATTTACCGCTGGCTACGCATTTGCGCGACCTGGGTAATCAACAACCAGCACCGACAATGAGTTCAAATCGAATGAACATTGTAGTTACCAAAAACAAAACGCAAGTATTGCGAATTTCCTTCGACGAGCGACGGTTCGTCGGAACGCGACTTTGTCATTGTAACAGTGAATTTATAGACGATTATAATATTAGGTTGCCCCAAAAGTTTCTTCCGTGACTTGCATTCAGTTATTTTGTGTGGCAGTGTTTATACAATTAGACAACCTCATTTCTTAGATGTTATTGTTGTAACTGTAATGAAGCAAAATGAATTGTACGCAATTCAATAATGTAGCATTATACATAAAATGTTGTGTATGTATTACTTTTTAAGGAAATGGAAGAAACTTTTGAGACAACCTAATATGTTTTCTATATCTCGAGATCCTACTTCTCGAATTATTCCTGTTTGTATCGTGAGTTTTTCGAGGTTTCGCGCGCAAATTTTGATGCAAATTTGATGTAAACATCCTGTAAAAGATGTCCTGTGGCATTTTCGATAAGTTTGACATTTTCAGGAAAGAAGCATACTTTTCGAGTCAACAAATATTCTAATTAATGTCGGAGCTTTATGTCTAGGAAGGTAGTGTAGGGTGTTAGAAAAGGGTGCTTGGTATGTGTGACGGTTTGTTTGAATAAGTTGTTAGTCTTTTTTATTATGTCTATTTGATATTGACAGCTTCTTAATATAACATTTGGTGAATGTAAACATGTAGAAAAAATTAATTTACACAGTATACTTAACGACACGAGTCCTAAATGCTATAGGAACGTTCTGTCAGCCTCTTGAATAGTCAGAACATTGAATTTATTCAGAAACACGATCTCCTCAGTAATGATTGACAATAATAGTCACTTTATATTCTTCACAGATGGAGCAACAAATACGTGGTGCTCGACTGTCCAACAGATATGGCGAAGGATATCGTAGTGAGTCATGTGAGAGACGTTGCACTTGGGAAAAGAACGTATCACTACTTGTTGAGTGGATTGGTGAGTACTGATGGAGTAAATAACTTTCTGAAACTTGAATATTGCAAGTGATCGCGGTACCAGTAATGAGAAAGATTTGCATAAATTGTACTACATAACATATTTCACCTTTAATTTTTTGTTGGGTATCAAAGTAAACGAAAATTAACGTTATCCATTTTAATCAAAACGTAAACATGCACAATATGACTGCATTATTGTACCTTCATAAATTTCATAAAAATCGTCAAATATGGTATCAATTGTACCTAATTATCCGAAATGTTCGTAGTATTATCTGTACTTTCGATTGCTCAGTTATTCGAAATATTTGTTGTTAGATTGATCTCGTGTTAATAATTAAAACATTGAAAAGGTACCTATGATTTAGCTCAACGGTACGTATTAACCAATCCTTCTATACATCTAATTTCTACACTGAAATTCACGAAGATAAAGGAACTTTGAGAACAATTACAGACACTCGAATTCGCTCAAAACTCTGTAGATAAGCGAAATGTTCGAGCTCGCACGTGCTTCAGATCACATCCGACAAGACAGCTTATATTTAGCGGTTTTAGACGAGTGTCGGGGACCAGAAATGCGTTCTTGAAGACGTCATGTACAAAGGAGAATTCTCTGTATTCTCTACGAGAAATGTCCTTTAACGCACCGTTTTCGAATCGTTCACTAGTGCAATTACTTTAGAATGAAGTACAAGGGACATTATACAAATAACTTCATTATGCTGATTTTATGCATACACTTTTATCAAGTCATTGCAAATAATTTGTAAAATATCAAACAATCATCGTTCTGTGGATATATTTATGTATTTGTTAACAAGTGTAGAAAATCAGTATTTCTTATACAATTTATAAATAATTAAATTCAGTTTGAAAAATCGTTATCCATGAAATTTTCTACAACAAAGTGTAATATGTCTCTTTTCTTCGTGTAGTCAATCATTTTGAAATTCTGGAAGCTTTCAATTTTGATTTGTAAGAATATTAATGTATAAATGTTTTTATTTCATGAGAGGATGTGGAAATTTTTATTTAATGGAGTAGCTATTTTGAAACTAATTACACTGTAACTCAAGTAAAATAACATAGACATGATTTTCTTTTAAAATTGTATGGATTCGACGTGCAACTAATTATTAAATTACACAAGTATTTTTCGATATACTTAACAGGAAAAATTTATTTATATCATCCAATACTACAATAATTTGTATATTTTATATTCCATTATACAATTCTATTACATTTGAAACAAACCAAACTCACGTGTATCAAAAAATGAAAATAACACTCTCTAAAACCAAGTATCCACTTTAAATGGTCATCTTGCAATTGAAAGTGCAGACACCTTTACCAAGCCCCATTTCATCGCTTCAAACACAATCATACCATAATTATTAGCATTTCACCCTTACTTTTCTTCTAACTTTTAGGATTTTAAAGGATTTACTCCTTCGTCTCGCTACAGCAGACAACTTAAACCAGAACTCATTTATAAAAATTTAAAGAACTGTGATTCGCGACCGTCGATTCAAAGATCGAGTAATCGTAGATAAACGAAGTCCTTTGTCACACTTAATCACGCTGCTACCTATAAACCACCTCAAGTTTTCTGTCTCCAAGGAGGTCCAAGTAGAACCACTCGAATCCACGGAATCGTCCAACCCACCCGCACACCTCGTGTCTTTTATGTGGCGGTACAAGTGCGCTGTTTTCATGTAATCAGATAATGGACGACCGTTGGGAGAGCGAGGTGATTGAGTACGGGGCCATCAACATCACCGGTTTTCGCATCGTGGATGCCACTCGGCCATACGTCAAAGACTTCCTGACCGCTTGGCATGGTCTCGATCCAGCGGGGTTCCAAGGAGCAGGCCGTGAATCTATTTCCGTACGTATGATCCTTCTTAACCCTTTTCGACCCCTTCGAAAAGTGCTTTGGTTCCGAGAGAAAAAAGACATTTCCCATTTATTCCTTCGTATTTGTTAGTTATATTCTACAAAAGCTAAATAGGAGGCAAATTCATTTCAACAAAAATCAATTTATTAAAATAGAAATACATTCATACATAAAAAAGGAAAGTCCAGTGATACAAAGTTTACTCATTCATCTCGTTAATGTTTCTAATTAGACACAAATGTACTTACAGTTTTCACAAATTATTTTGAGAATGATTTTTTATGCGTTTATTTCAACCTTCACAGGTGTTTATTATATGAGAATCATATTCTGTCACTGGAAGCAACAAATAATTTATCAATCGAACGAACAAAGTTTTGCGAATACGTCAGCGACCGCGAATGTGTTAATGTATCAAGTTATCAACTACTGGTCTCTTTAACTTAATCTATGATAGAACTCCTACACAAAAACTTCATAAGAGTCAAAGCAATTGCGTTTAAAATATCAATCCTGATCATTTTCGAACATTTGCTTTCTTCGACAAACAACTGTCTCCCATTTCCATCGAGTTCTTCGACGAACTCTCCCCTTTTTCGTGATACCCTTTGGCGAGATATTATGCCCCTAGCTTCCGTTAGCGTCCGTCACTCTGTGTAGACGTCCCTTCAAGGAAGCATCCACTCGAGCTCCACGCGAACCGTCGAGCGCCATCCAGTGCTCCAATTCTCTGTCTTAAGCGCGCCAGTCTATTCCGGTTTCCGGGTTGTTTTCGGATACCTGCCGCGGTCAAGTGCATAGGACTGCCTGCGAATGGCGTCTAGAGTCATGGCAGGAAGAGAAAATCAAACTGGGATCCGCAATTCGAGCTTTACGAAAAGCTAACGCGGCCCGAAGACGCATTAAACTGGGAGCTCGAGGGCCAATCCCGTGCTCCACTTTCGCGAACTTCGAACACAGCCATTCCTACCCATTCGTCGAGGTTCATTTTCCGAATTGAAAATTTTAATACGAACTTAATCTTTGGAATACCAGTTGCTTTGTTACATGGATTATCGAGAGGGATGGGTATAACTTACTGTGTTTGGTACAACTTAACAGAAATATTATGTGTTTTATCATAAACTATTCCATTACTGAAATAAACCTACGGAATATATGATATACGTCCATAAAATGTAGTTTAGTTTAGTAATTTCGAGTCTTAATAATAAACACAAGTTATTATCAGAGGTTATTATTCAAATAAATCCCAAGGGGAATTAATTTTTACTTAAAAGAGTCACATGCATTCGTTCTAAATCTTCTCAAATGAAATTCTGTAGATTTATGAAGAAGTATTGTGACGTAATCGCTCCTTCTTAATTTACACTTACACTCTCCTTATCAAATTTCTGTGTGCTCCACTAATTATGACAATGGCGTGAATGAAAATCTTAATCTCTGAAAAAATTGTCTAAAACCTCAAAAAGTATTGCATCATGCTCGTTTCCACTTAATTATCATTTGCACCTCATTTGCAAAATTCTTGTCCCCCACTGATTAAAATGTTGGCGTTAATGGACCTCTGCAAACGTATTAAAGTAATTGATCTTTGACACCGTCGCAAACGACGTCCGTGTGACAATACCAGTGCTCAATTCGATTCAGACAATGAGAATCACCGAGTAGGTAGACAGACCAAACTGCGCGACGGGTGCACCAATTATCGTGATCGATCCTCAGACAATTTCCGCTCACGGTTCGCCAACTTTGGCCACGTGCCCGACGTACTCCTGGTCCTCGTGAATCTGCGTACGTCCCGGAGCTGCGATAAATAGTTTGCTCGGTTTCGTCGCTCGAGTCAGCTTAACCGCGCTGCCCGGAAGCGTCGTCAGGGAAACTTCGCTTCGTGTTCGTCCCCAACTGTGCTCTGCCTCGTACGCCGCATTATTTCACTTGTTAGGACGATTGCGAACGACCTCACGATGTACGAGTATCAGGTGCGCAAACAAGGAATCCACAACTGTCCACTCGAAAATAAATGTCCAAAATAATTCGTTCATTAAGGCATCGTTTCTTACATTCTTCTCTTATCTGGGCATCTTAACAAAAGGAGATTGAGTAATTGATTTTGAAAGTAGGGCATGCCTATTTTATAGCATGCTGAATATTTAATGATTTCCATATGAATGGGTGAAAAAATATTGGTAAATTGTAATTGATTATTTTATATTCTTCATTGATCTTATTTCATGTAATATGGAATAATAGTTATCCGTGTTAGCTGAAAAGAATTTTATTTTTGGTATTAGTTAATGGATTTTATTTTACCTAAATGAAATATAATTATAGTAAGAAAAAACTAACTGGTTTATTTTATTGTAATGTATTGTGATAAAACAAAGAATAAATTTAATTTTGGAGGAAACAGTGGAAAATGTATTTAACAATAAGTTCTGTGGATATAATTATATTTCTTGATTTAGATGGCGAAGGTCTTTGAAGTATTCATGATGAATGGTGTTACATCTATGTATATAGTATATGGCATAGATATACTTATTTCTGAGTTTAAATTTTTTAAACGTGGCCAATTATTGCATGTACCTCTTTTTCTCGTTCCCCGCGCCGATACGAACTTCGATACGCTTCGCAGCTTATGCACCCTCGATGAAGCGGTCCTTGACGCTCGAGAACTCGATTCGATTAGTGACACCGCGCATTCCGCTCTGCAATTAATTCGGTTCCGCGTTACTTCCTGATCAATCGATCACTTTGTTCAGTCGTACTGGGATCGCTCCAGGTGGAATTTTTGGTATTAACGGTTTCGCGAGTAGTGAGAACATCATTTTCCACTGGTTAATAAGTAGTAGAGTTTGTCGATGTGATAATCGAAGATGAATTTAACAGTTTTAGTCAAGCGATAGAAATGATTCTAAGAACAGACTATAATCATCGAATTAGAGTAAAGCCTGGTCTGGAAGGTAGACAAATTCATTGATAGTTAAATCTCTGATTTAAATCTGATGAACTGATTATGAATTACTCGGTCTTTTATTTGATCGAATAATAGTGAACGAATACTTATTTTCGTTCAAAATCATTGAATTAAAAATAAAACTTGAATTGAAAATTTCTATACAAATGTCATTTGAATGAATAGCTTATTGAGACTACATTTAGTTAGTAACAGAGCAGCAATTCTTACTTTCATTATAAATTATCCCATTGTAGATCTTAAGTCTTGATTCATTATTAGTAAGTAGCATAAGAATAGTCTCTATTCTTATTTATAATCATCGAGTTATAAATATTAATACCAAACTTTTATAGAAAAGTCTGAAACCCCAAGAATAATTCAAATATCTTCGTTTATTACTTTATATTAATTTTAAAATAACTGTATATTGAATGTCGTAAGTATCTTAAGTAAAAATAACATTCATATCCTTTTAATCCTACTTTATAATTGCCTCATCTGAGAACATTATCGAGACTCGACTACATTTACTTTAAAATTCCACGAATTCTGAGTAGCATCTCTGACCACAGTCCCGTATGATTACAAAAAAATTACATAAATATTCAAAGACAAATCTTTAAAAAATTTACCGTTGAATATAAAATAAGGTCAATACAATTCTATTCTACGGACACTTAAAGTTACAAAATTTAATATTATCGTAACGTCGCTGATGAACTTGGACCATTTCGTTTGAAACCCAAAGTTCCCAAATGAAGATAAATTGGTGAAATAATTTAATACGAATCTCACGCATCGTTGGACACTGAAAAACACGACGAGCACGCTTCACGTCCAGTTTTTTTGTGTCACGTTGAAACGAATATCATCACGGTGGCGATTCGAATACTTATCCAGCAATCTTCCTCGCATTAGGCACAAGCGGCGCTGATGTACGACGCCGTATTTGTTCTCGTTGAGGCGTTCAACAAGTTTCTGAGGAAAAAGCCGGACAGAAGCAACGTGAGACGAACTGGAGTCCCTGGTAGCAGTCAGATTACGAATGGCACACGGTCGCTGGATTGTAATAATAGTGGCGGCTGGGTGACACAGTTCGACTTTGGAGAAAAAATTTCGAGGCTACTGAGAAAGGTGAGTAGACATGTTCAACGTTACTATGCAGAAATTAGCATTATGCAAATAATAAAGTTATACTTTCAAAGAATGTGGAATAAGAATACTTTGGCTTTACTCGTTATTCGTAGGGTTTTAATGACCTAAGTTTTCTTAGAATTGGAACAGAAATATGAAATTGTGAGATTTTTATCTACATGCATTCTATTCTTCGTACCGATACAAGACTGACTATTTGTACAATTAGTATCGCAGTCTAGGATTAGCTAGCAAAACAACATTTAGTGCACTTCTTTCTTTCACATGCTTGGACTCGCATATATTTTTCTTCATCGTGGCAAATAGAGTCTTCAATCGAATAAAATAAAAATAGTAATGCCCATATTTTAAACTCAGTTGTATTCGAAATTAAACTCTGATTATAATGTACATATACTATCAAGCATAAGCACTGCCTCTTTAAAAAGTAGAAATCTCATTAAACATTTGAAAAAACATTCCAAACAAATTCCAAGAGGAATTAACTTTTTCTTAAAAGAGTCACATGCATTTCCACATGCATTTCCACATGCATGCCCATATTAATGCCCATATTTTAAAATTAGTTGTATTCAAAATTAAACTTTGATAGTAAAACATCTCATGCTGAACCTTACTGATTGTAAAAGCATTAAATAAATAAATATTCAAAATGACCTATAACGTCTCGAACAGCCCCATAGTTAGACCTTTATTACGCATTCATTCCATGTGGAATAATTGTTTCACGGATTGACTCGAACCTCGTTGCTACTACGAGGATGAGGAAGCTATCGATGATTCAGCCCAAAGTCAGCGAAGCGCGGAAAGAAACGCCGAAATACTCAATACATTTCGAATACCGTGGCAACCGAAATTGCCAGGGACCCTTCCCAACGTCTCTCTGCTCCTGACAGTAATTGGCGGTTATTCCGACTCTAACGGAATTCCTGCGTCTACGTCAGATCGTTCTCTACCTTCGCAAGTTCATGTACATATGTATGTATATGTACAGCAACAGTCACACCGGAAGTCCTCCTCCACTTTTCCACTCTTCGACGGCTTGTTGCGCGACAAAATCAAACGCGGGGACCTGCCAAGAGCAGGGAAATCGTTAGCAACGGGGAGAAGCAAATTCTTTTCAATAGGGAAATGCGTCCAGGTAACGAAAGGAAGTCTGAAAAAGGTGACAGGTAACCTTGTAATTTTCCAAATTTTTGTTGATTTGTTCGAGTTTAGGATAACACGTAGGAGAGAAATATTAGGACATCCCATATGTTCATGTTACAGATTCTGTTTATATTTAACTCTTTAACTGCGGGACGGTTTTTGCTGAAAATTCTAAGAGACGTAGAGATGTAAATTTAAAAAAAATATCAGCTTATAGAGAATGATAAAACGGAAACATTTTTTATTTACAATTTATTCATAGGACGTTTAGTTTTAAAAATAAAAATTGAAAACTTAAAAGAACTTTTTCCTGAACTCTCCTGTCTCGCCGAGACTGGTCTGACACTGTTGCTGTTGTTTTAAAGAAAAAAAGAACAACAGTCGAACAAACGAATTTAAAACAAAATATCACCTTATAGAGAATTACAAAACGATACTTTTTTATTTTTAGGGGTTATTCATACAACGTTTAGTTTCAGAAATAAAAATTTATAACTTATTGTTAGGAGACCTTTTACCTGCAATTCAATTTTTCCAACAAACTTCTAACTTCTAACTAAAAGAGTCCATTTAAAGCAAAATTGATTCGAAATTGTCCAATAAATCATAAAACTACTGAAAGAACACATTCCTTTATACAAGAATCCAACTTTGGACAGTCACACGTCACGGCATTTGAAATGATTGTTGTACTGATTAAATATTTGTTTATATTTTATTATCAGGTTGAAATCGAGGGACTGACGGGGGAGATCCGTTTTAACGATGATGGTCGCCGACACAATTACACTCTTCACGTCGTCGAGATGACGGTCAACAGTGCCATGGTCAAAGTAAATATTTTCACGCACTAGTTCGCCACACATTTATTCCTCTTCAAATTTCTATTTTTTTTCCAAAATGTTTATCTGTCGTTTTTACAATTTTACAACTGACACGAAAATAAACTGCGCCACTGGGAAATTCACAATCATTTTTAACAATAATTATTTCATGTCATGTAGAATGCTATTGAATATTTACAATATTTACTCTCTCATGCTATATTTTCTCTTGTTTAATCTTTCTATATCTTCTGTATATAATTTTTAAATCAATATGTGTTAGTCACTATGAAGAATCGAAGTTCTAAAGTCGAAAATGTTGGAACAATATAAATTACGCTCGAAAGATTATTAACCGTTTTAATTTCTGGTTTGCTCAGCAACCGAGATATTTCAGTTGTTATCATTTTTTATATTGACATTCAGAGAAAGAAAGAAATATTTAATTTTCAATGAAGGTTAAAGTTAGGTCTTGCTAGCAATATATGATATTCATTCATTATTCTAATTTTGTTATACACAGCATTAACGTATTGGTGGTTTTCAGATCTAAGTCAACATTATGTAATCAATCTATAATTAAATAAAAATAAAAAGAACAGAACTTTTGTATAACATAAATGTGAAATCATAAATTGACTTCTAATATGTGAAACACAAATGGATATATGAACATTAAAGATTATTTATAAGACATTATTTATAAATTTATTATAAATGTAAACATTTCAACTATGAGTATCCTTTTATCATAAGAAATTACTTTCACTTTTAACTTACATCTTATTTGCAAAGGTATAAAATAATACTTTTATATTACATATTTGCCTCAAACTTGTCACTTAAATAACTCAAGATAATTAAATAAATGTAATATATGCAGTATTATACTTCTATATAATTGAAAAAAGTCAATTCATTTACAAAATAAGTAATTTTTAAATTCAGAAGATTCGCCACAATTACGGTTTTGTTTAAATTCACAGTCTATTTAAAAGAGTACATAAAAAATTCCAAAATTAAATACTTCTAATTGCAATAATAATTCGTATCCGTCCTTTAATAATTCAAGGTTGCAGAATGGACGGACGAAGCAGGATTTCAAGCGATCGCAGCAAAATACATTCGTCTGCGACCGCACACGGAGATCGAGAAGAACAAGACCTACATTGTCACCACAATCGTGGTAAGAAATTGCTCCACAAATTACCGTGACGTTTAGCGCGATGAAAACGCGTATTCATGGCGGACGGAATCGAAGAAAACGAAATTAATGAGTGTCCTCGTTCCACATTGCAGGAAGAGCCGTACATCATGAAGAAAAAGTCAGACACGGGCGAACCGCTTGTGGGCAACGATAGCTACGAGGGTTATTGCAAAGATCTTGCTGATCTTATAGCGAAGAAACTCGGAATAACGTGTAAGTGTCTTTGCAATAATTAATTGATTAATTAATCAATGACCAGAAATAAGTATGAAAATTATTTAAGACTGATATGAAAGTTCATTTAATGGGAAAGAAAGAAAGTTTGCAAAACAAGACAATTCTTGCACAATTGTTTACATTCACCTATTCATCTTTTACTCTGCACTTTTATTAGTTTTTGATTCTGCATTATTATTCGTGGTTGTATGTTCCTCTACTTCACCGCAGATTGATTTATCAATGCCCGAAGGAGGTTCCAAGAATGTGGACTGTGTCCATCAATATTCGAGATTCTCTGAATTTATTTCCTCTCGTATATCAATAAGGGGGATAAACCTCCCCTAAGAGAAGCTTCATAAGTCTCTCCCCTGATTTTCCAGACGAGCTTCGGATCGTAAAGGACGGAAAATACGGAATGGAGAATCAGAACGTTCCTGGTGCCTGGGACGGGATGGTGGGCGAGCTGATTCGCAAAGTAAGTTCCGGTAGAAGCTTCTAGGAGACGTTACTCGCAATTTGAAGGACTCCTTCGAAGCGAAACCGCCGGAAGTTAGCAGGCAGTCGCGACACGAGCGATTTCACCCAGCTACGTTAAAAATCAAGCTATTGATCGTCGAGTCTAACGCGAAACAGGCTGTTTTATCGTTCACCATGAGTTGCGAAACTCTTCCACCAGGTGCCTCGAGCTTGCAAGCTCTTCGACAACGTTTCGTGGACTTGGAACTACATCTGGTGGACGAGTTTTGAATGAGTGGAGAGAAAATGTGCTACCTTCTAATTTATATTCGGTAGAAGAATGGTGAAAGGATCAATAGTGAACACATGATCCTTCAATTTCTGTAGGAAGCTACTGATGTTTTTATTTGACATATGATATAGTGAAATTACAGTTTACAGGATCCAGAATATTGTAATGAGCAATCCAGTACGTAGTTCAACATTTTAATTTACGTAACCTCGTGGTTGGAACGCTGGTTTGATTCATTTCTCATTTTGCAGAACTCAAAAAATTAGTAGGACCTTCATTTATTCATATTTTCAGTGAACTTTGATACTAGGGCTCATAAGCAATATTTTAATATTGATTGAGTAAGTTTTTCACAGTCTTCTTAAATGTTTTCTGATATGTAGTGATGATATTTAGATGTAAAGAAAAATATACAGTTATTTACGTATAGATGATTTATATTTTTCTGTTTACATCTGGAGATACATGCCCGAAAGTGTTTATATAGTGGATGGGAAATTTACTTTGTCAATGAGCATTTATATTTTTACTTTTATAAAAAATTAACAAAGCTTTCGATCTTGGATTAGTATTGTGAACACTAAGAACTGAAGAGTTTTTCTCAAACTAATTCACTACTGAGATAATTACCTTAGTAAAAAATATGTAAGATTCAGCATCTAATTTGCATTAATTTTTTCCTACAGTACAAATAATTATTTACAAACTAAACAATAAATTGTCCCGACACAATGAAAATTGACGAATATGAAGTTTGTATAATGAAGTTATACGAATTTGAAAAATGACAATATTCTGATAAATAATTTTCTTGTGATAATTTTGTTGCATTGTAAATATTACTATTATCCATTTTCAAAATTGAGAGGTTAATAACCACTTTATTTTTGCAGGAAGCAGACATTGCCATCGCTCCTATGACAATCACCTCCGAACGCGAACGAGTGATCGACTTCAGCAAACCTTTCATGTCTTTGGGAATCAGCATAATGATAAAGAAACCTATCAAACAGAAGCCTGGTGTATTTAGCTTCTTAAACCCATTAAGCAAGGAGATCTGGGTGTGCGTGATCTTCTCGTACATCGGTGTGTCCATCGTACTATTTACCGTATCCAGGTAAATATTTTTCTAGAGCTACGTTCGTGTTTTCGCTGGATAAGCAGCCAAGTGGAAACGGTCGGTATGTAGTCAGACGACGATTAACCGCTGGCGCTGGTTCGATACTTGTGCTGCTTGTCTTATCGTCCACTGCTTCAGTATACTTTAAATCCAATCGAAATATCACACTTTCATCATTCTTAGTATATTATTTTCAAATAGGTAGTAAACAAACAATAATAATAAATTGTGGTACGGAAGGTCTACCGACGTATGGCAAAATACAGGCTTTCAATTAATTTTATGGATAATAATTTCTTATGGATGAAAGGATGCGTAACAAATTATTTGTTTAAATAATGATAATGTTGCGTCAATTTTTAGAAATTTTTGAAAACGAACATCGAAATGTTTAGAAAAAGAATATGTTTTACATTGTTCTAGAAAGCCAATGAATTTTCTTCCCACATAATTAGTAATACTACACAGCAATTAAATATTTCTTTACACTTTATTATTAAAATAAAATATCTATGTCATTTCTTCGTGGAAGCAAGCATTAATTACCAGATAGTGGCGAATACTAAATTAATTTATTTTTATTCGAAATACCATTAATCGTTTTCTATCGCCAGTTCCACTATCATTAAAATAGAAACTATAAACTAACAAAGTTAAAAATTCATAAAAGCTGAAATTGTTAATTTTATTCTGATTTTATTAATTTTGAAAACGAATTTAACGAATTTAAGATACATTTTGACTAAAAAGCAATTTCGTAGGGACTTTATATTTGAGAAACACTGCTCCATAAAAATCTTTCTTAAATTCCATATACTCTCTAAAGTATACGGCACGTAACGAGGTTTATTACACTATGAATAGCAAGGTAGATAAAAACAGGGAATAAATCCTCACGATAGAAAACAGCAATTCATTGCTCTGAAACTTTTAATCTCCATGAATCGTTTGTGTATTCCTCGCACCATTCAGCATTATCTTCGCTTTACTTCTCTTTCTCTCCGTGTGTAATTACATAACACTCATGGTTGTTCGCTTCTCCACGAGGTGCCACAGTTACATGCACAACCACGACAATTACGCGCCCATTTATCGTGATCATGTAGCCCCCGCTGTATTTACTGCCACGATGGATCGTCTCTGCTTTTATTTCACTCTGATTAGCCTATTTACTGTTCTCTGTCTTGCATGATTTCCACGAATGTAATTTTCTAGCAATCAGGGGTAAATTGTAATCTTGATAGAGGCGATAAGTTCAAGTACGACCGTTGATTTGACGCTCGCATCGATCTCTGTCTAACGCATTTCGTGCGTGATACTCTTGAAGTTCCAGTTGAGAGGGTAGTTTTAAAATTTCAAGGCCGAAGCTTCAATTTTTTCCTACGATTAAGAAGAAGGTGGAGTCAAATTAGATATAAAGAGAATTTTATTCGAATATTAAGCAACAGATATACAAAATAATACATATTATAATATACATATAATATTGTTACATTATATTATGTATTCATTAGTATTTATATATTAAGAATTTTTATGTATTATATGGAAATTTATAATACATTTTTATTAAAAATGTTGTATCCTCCATTCCTCATCGAAAGTCTATCTCTTATTATCTTTCACTTTTTATCTTTTATAAGTTATTTAAAATTTTGTATCTACAGAATTTTGCTCATCTCTGACTGAACGCAACAGAATTACGTTAGACGTTTGAAAAAGGATGAAATTAAGAAAGACGAGTTCAAAAGTGGAAGATGAAAGGCTCGTCCAATTTGCTTTCCATTAATTATCCCCTGTCGTTGCAAAAGGTACATCTGAACCAACGAGACTGCGTTTAAAGTTTGAAACAGTGGAAAATGGAAGAGGGCGAGTTCTGAAATTGAAAATCGAAACTTCATTCGATTTGCCTTCCACTGGTGGAGTGGTTCAAATTATAAAAGCGAATATGAATTCTATAGTAAAGTGACTTGACTTCGGAAATATTTTGAAATCTGAGAATTTAATTTTAATACTTCTTATAAATGACAATTCCATTTTTATTACTCAATATAATAAGGAGATAAATGCAGTTGTGACAGCTAATATTCAAGAATTTCTTGTCAAGGTTTAAATACATATTTTAATTGAAAACAAAACAAAATTTTTCAGAGTGAATATTGCATTTAATATATACAGTTTTTTGATAGGATATATTTAAAAATGGCCAAGGTACAGCAAATCTATAGGAACAGAATACTTTGTTTAGTATACTCATATCATAGTACCAAAAAAATACATTCTTCAAGATTTGCTGTAACTTAACATTTTAAATATATCGTACCAAATAAAAATGCATATATTAAACTTGCATTGTAAAATTACTCTTTGTTTTGGATTAAAATATAGACTTAAACTTTGAAAATGTTCTTGAATTTTGATTCAAATATCATATATTTGATATATCACTTGTTATATCATAACAACTGCGTATTTCCATAATATAGGTAGTAATATTATTCACATTGTCCTAAGTAACCATTTTCTTTCACGTCTTTTAGAAAACTGCTTTAAACATTTTTGTCAATGATATCAAAACTGCTCCACAAGGTGTAGAAATGCATCAACATGCAATTGCACTTAACAAACCTAGACACGCAAGGGTGCAAAGTTCACAATACTTTTCTGTCCAGATTTTCCCCGTACGAATGGAGGGTGCTAACGCTGAGCAGTGGTGCGGATCCAGCTGGAAGAAATGATCCCACGTTGCAACATCCTCACGCGTCTCAAGGATCGCCTCACATGCCGACCTCCAGTATGGCCAACGATTTCAGCATCATCAACAGCCTGTGGTTCGCGTTGGCCGCGTTCATGCAACAGGGCTGCGACATATCGCCCAGGTAATGGCTAATTTTCATGTGAAACAATCCCAATACACCAGTGTTCCTCTAAGGCGGCTCGTACAAATTAATTAAAGTAATCTTGACGAATTATCAAACATTTTTTCGACCACGTTCGATTTTTCTTATCACTCACGTGATACGTGGCTATTACCTGACCGGGCAACGCTACTCGTATCACGTAAAGTTCGTGGAACAATCGTCGTCGTCAAGTATTTATAACACCGATAAACTTGTAACTCGTGGTAGATTAGTTACTTGCCACACTTTTTTTGTTATTTATTAACGGGTAATTTGTTTTAAATGTTTATGAGTAATTGCTAGGGGAATTATATATTTTTCTGGTTTTATTAAGAAAACTCTACGAGGAATAATAATCGAAATTCATGTGGTTATAAATGTATTTAGAGTAAAATGAATGTTTCTTTTCTTCGTTTTATAATATTAAATCACAGTTAATTATGGCTATTTTAGCCGTTTCTGAAGTATTTTTTACATTGTTACGCTATAAATATTTAACGGAAGTCATGAAAAGGGATAGAAGTACTTGGAATAAAATCAGAGTTCTCAAGGTGGTCGATTTAAATAGGTTATAAATTTAAATTTATGCTTCGATCAAGAGATATCTGCAAACATATGGATGTAAAATTAATTGAATTTTCAAGTAAACTACAAGAATTATATTGATGCGTCCTTTCGATAATTTATGAAGGGACCTTTGACTTGCTGCAGGCACTAGGTGGTGGATACTTCTCCCTGTAAAAGTTCATTAAATTCCTGGAAATGAACAGAATCTCTAGATGATTCATTAAATGAGACTTTGCATTACTTCAGTCGTAAGTCAGCTATTAGGTAGTGGACATTTCTCTGCGTAGAACTTGACCTCCAACCAACAGTCCTGTTAAAAACTAATAAATTTTGTTTCTCGATCCGAAAAATTGAATCTTGAAACTTGACTTCAATACTCTTCATCAGTGAGGCTTTGACTTGCTTCAGTAGCAAGTCAGCTATTAGGTGATGAATCCTTTCCCACGTAGAAGTTGATCTAACGTCTCTGGTTAAAAACAAATATCTACAATCAAGAGTCTTATTTGAAACTAATAAATTTTGTTGCTGAATCCGAAAAATTGTTGATTAAAAATGTATCCAGCCAACAATTGTCGCATAGGACATAACTGACAGTATGATTGACCAGGTTTCTTTCCGTCTAATTACGATCGCCCGTTGCTCTTGCTCAGCTGTCAGTTTTCTCTTCCGCGGTACGAGCGAAGGGGCTAAAGTACATAAAGGATCCAGGAAAATGGCTTCCCTTTACTTGCAGCAGGTCAACCGTACAGTCTGCTAATAGGATGAATCGGGTAAGATTCAAAAGGTTCGTCGCTGTCGAGGTTAAAGTCTTTCGTGTAAACGTTTCGCAGTTTTTCGTCGTGGATGTATTGCGCCGCTCTGGAAAAGCTACTTCTGTGTAATTAACGACGGTGTTCGATTCAAGAAAGTGACAAAGCATAACGAATGTAATAAGCGCCCTTCTAAACGACGCCAGAACTACTTTACTTGCCGCTCAGACGCTACTAATTGCTACGAACAATCCATTCGTAACGAAACTAACGTTAATGTTTTGAGTTTCCTTTGATTACTGCGGTATTATCCCCTTATTGTAGGAATTACACATATGTGCATATTTAAACTAAACGACAGTTGGGTGAACTTACTCAAATGCAGGAAAAGAATTGAAACTTGAATTAAAATATGTTTTATTTTCTAGACAGTATAACATGTATGTTATTGTTGATGTTTTATAGATTTTTGCATTTGCGCAGTCAATCCTATAAATATTCATATCTTCTATGCCTATTAAAAAAATCTGTCTAAATTAAATGATAGATTTGATATTTTCAAATAAATGTTTCATTATGAATATGTACATGAATAAACTTTACACTTGTATGTATTGATAATGAAATATTTATTTGAAACTCTGTATCATGTTAGATTGCTGAAAACAAGATAAAATAAGACCATAAGTAAACCCTAATAATGGTATACAAATTCAAAAATGATATTATTATTGAATAAAATTAAATATAATGTTTCTACAATACTAATATTGCCTTACAAATAGTTCTTCACTGTTCAGAACACCTTCGAGCAATCTTTTTCAATAAACTCGATTCTGACATATTTCTAGCAACTCTTCGAACATTTGAAATCTACAAAGAAATACACAAGGACATTGCCAATGTGAGTAACGTCGAATACCTGCCAAGTTATCGAGAAATTATGTATGTTAATTACACGTCGTTCCTGTGAGTATTTAATTATTACAATCAACTTTACGATACACTTACCACGCAAACATCGGCATGGTAACGAGCCGTGCATCGATTAGAAGCGAAAACCTCGTCCAAACGTTCACCAACTGGAATGCACCCCTCGGAAAAACTAAACTCTTGCAAGAAAGCAGTAAGAAGTTGTTCCCTGTAAAGCGATACCTTAGCGAGGAAGCAGTTTCGCGCTCATACTTCCCGGTGTCCTTCAACGCACGATCGTGATCGCCACCCGGTAGATACTCTGCCAACGATAACCTTTAAGAGTGTGATTTACGAGGCTGTTCGCGGGCGAAGGGGTTACGGTACACAATAATTACTGTTGAAAATTCCTTCGTTTAAATTACAACTGCATGCGATGTAAACGGTGATTATAACTAGCGCGGTCAGAATTATCACAATATAATCGGATTACGTTTGATAGTCTCGTGCTGGATGTAATTTAGAGTGGTCACGTAATCGGCACCGCGATTAGGCCAACGGCTATTCGAGGGCGGCTCATTTGAATGAGCGTGTCGTTCGAGCCCCAGCGAAAATTCCATTAGCGACACGCGCCGCCCGCCGAGGTCGTACGTTTCCGACCCGTTCGACCCCTTTTTCCACACTATTTTCCATACTTTTATATTCTTCTTCCCACGCATCGAGCATCGATCAATCCCCAGGGATCACGAACGATACGTTTCACGACTCTCGTGACGCGAATTCCTGGCCCCTTTGCATAAAACCTTCGCTCGGTTCGCGACTGTTTCGCGTGTTATCCGCGTTAATGACGTCTGATGTCGAGTACAGCGTCTCGTTTGAACTATCGAATCTGTTCACGAGTTCGTGTGTGTCGTACTTATGGATAGTAGCTGGCTAGCTTTAGATTAGTAGGAATTATCGCCTGCGGTTGAGGACAAGGAAACTATTGCAGGGTGCAACAATTTGTCCGCGCAGGTTGAAACGGAGCTAAATTGTCCTCGCAGGTTGCAATACACGTAACTTGTTCTGACAAGTTGCAAGAAAGCACAGTTACCTTCACAGGCTGCAAGAAAGTAAATTAACCTTGACAGGTTAGAATGAAATTAATTCTCTCTTACAAGTCACGACAAAGCTATCCTGCTCTTACAGGTTAGAATAAAGCCAACTTTTCCTAGCAGGTTGAAAGGAAGCTAATTTACCCTTGCAAGTCACAAAAAAGCACACTTGCCTTCACAGGCTCTAAGGTAGAGAACGTTGCTGGTTACAATTAAATATTAACTTTTTCTTGCAAACATTTAACTTGGACTCGCACGCTGCAAGGAAGTTAATGTGCCTTCTGAAATTATAACGGAGCAAACTTGCACCTACAAGTTACAATTTGAAAGGAAACAAGCTAACCTTGCATCTTGCAATGTAACTAACTTGCTACTCCAAGTAACTTCTTCGGGAACTGAATGAAAGATGAGATTTAGTTCTGCAATAGGGATTATCTTTTGCAATAAATAATTATACATTATAATGATAAATTTTTTACTTTTTTTATGACTATGACATGTGTATTGGAATATGTATTTGCATTAGTCTCTTTATAGAAGGCTTTATACATCTTTATTACATAAATTGATTCTTCCCGCCATTCTGCACATAAAAGTGTAGAACTGAGAGAATGAAAAATGTAATACTTCATTTGATTATATTCTGCATGTATGTCCCAATTTTGATTTCGTGACGAAATTTTCGAGAGAAAATCTCTAACGTTATTAACTAATTTAGACGTATTATCATCTTTAAATATACATATAGTCTGTCCTCTGCTAAATTCATAATTCAACTTAAAAAAGTTTTATTTCATTCTTATTTTTATATCCTCTTCGTTAAAACATTATTGTTACACTGCAATACTTTTTACTTTCAAAGAAGTATATTATTTTAAATACCTGAATTATCAAGTACTTTACTTTTAAATCTGCCATTACTTTCGGAAAAGTTCATAAAATGTACACAGTTCTCCTCATAAAAGTCGCGCGTGAATGGCGCTGTTCCAGCAGAAATGCTATAATATAGGCTAACCGAGCCGCGTTATTCTTGACGTCCAATTCCAGTCGCTGTCGAAGACCATGATGATAAAATGCCCCGGCTTACGCGTGATCTCGTAAATCTTTGGAAAACCGATCGGCAACGGATTCGCGGGCGTTTCGCCATCTCGGCTGCACCGAAACTGGGTCTCAATTAATTTACATTTCGCCGTATCCACCGCGCCAACCCATCGCGGTAGCCTCCTTGATTAATGGTTTAAATATTCGCGCGGCGATGATATGAATTGTAAATTCGGTTGTACCTTCTGTCCCCTACGTCCGTTGCTCCTCCTCGTCGACCATTCCGCTTGCTTCTTCTTCTACGTGGGATCGCTGTCCTGCGATTCCAGGACGTAAAGTTTCGTTATTAAATACGGTCGAGTCCGTGAAACGTACCATGAAATCCGATTACAACGTTCTCGTTCGGGAAAGAAGACAGAAACGAGAAGTGAACAGAACGAGTTACGAGTTGACGAAGATAACGACCTAGGTTTGGTGTCCTGCAATTTTCTACAAAGAAAACGAATTGGGAAACGGAGAAATTGAATCGATAGGTTGGATGCACTTTCTTGGCTTCTGTAATATTAATTTCATTTTACAGAGTAAAACGGGTTTGTTGATGACGTTTAAGGGAGTAGAATACTGTAACGGTTCTAAAACGAGAGGTAATTTCAGAAATTCTTTATATTCAATGTATGTGATGAATTGTTTTCAAATTTTCTTTATGTTTCATCGAACATTTAAACAAACAGAAACCGATCTCATAGTGTCGTTAATATGGCGTTGTTCGAGTCGACAGCGTGCACAAGTGGGCACTGAAAATAAACCACGGAGTTTTGTTGAAAATTTTGTGATTACTACATATATTTGTAATTTCACAGCCAACAATTTTCTTAAATTAGACACCCATCACTATAGCCTGACGTAGAATTTTTCCAATACCTACATGTCAAAACTGACATGCATTTGAAAAAAAATTTCGAATCCTATGAAAAAATGTTGCCTATTTATTAAAACAAAAAAAGATAATATGCTTTTCTCAGCAAACTGTCAACCAGATTGAAAAGTGTCGTTTAGGGATAAACGAAATTAAAATTTAAAACTGATCAAGACTCTAGCAATGTTAGAAATTTCTTTCTCAAAATATGAAGCCACATTCTTGTAATATTAGAATTTAAATGTTGTACCCCCTCAAGTATCATTACGATGAATTATACGATCAAACGAACTTACCTGTGAAGTTCGATCGTAATTATACGAAGAGCCTCGTTCTTCGAAGATCAAATGTAGATGTTTAGAGTTTTATGCGACTTGTTTTTTTTTTCTTTTTTAGTTTACTCAGCGTCTTCCTCATTTTTGAACACCGTTCTCGCAAAAATGTCCGACTTGTGTTACTAACGGCCTGTTATAAAAGTTCGCGAATGTTTGGGAGTTTTCTGACCACGCGGTCAAATAAAATCAAATCGAGTTTAATGGATCATCAACATTTTATGAAGTATAAATAAATAAGGAGTATACAAAAGAAGAATAAGTATAAATAATTACATTAATTATAATTTTGTTTTAAATTATTTATAATTATTTATACTTATTCTTAATTTGTATACTCCTTATTTATTTATACTTCATAAAATGTTGATGATCCATTAAACTCGATTCGATTTTATTTATCGCATAATTTATTTACTCTTCAATTCAATAATTTCTATTCTTCTTTTTTGTAAGCATTTCCCGCACCTTAGCCTTCTGTCATTGCATATGTAGTTAACTAATAGTATAAATAATAAGAAAAACACATTGCCAGAACTGCACCTTGTCATTAAAATTTAAACAATTTTTTTACAACTTTATCGACTTCTGGCAACGTATAAGCCCCGACCTGGACTTCTGGCAATAGCTTTACGCGATTTCTGTAGTTAAAAACTATAACTACACAAAATTTCAGGGCTACACTCAAAGATTTTATTTTGATTAAAAATTAACATGTTTGACCGCCCGCCCACGCTTCCAGCCCCGGGAGCGCCTTCTTGCTGCAGCGCTATGGGCTTTGTCATCTAGTGAGGAGTTGTTTTTAGATACAAGTTTTCACTGCACCTTATCATTCGTGATTTTCGTAGCCAGCTCTTAGACTATAATTGCTTGTATCTCTGTAACGAAACGTTAAATTGCAAAATGGTAAAAGACTTTTCGATAGCGTTTCACTCGAAGAATTAATTTTGACCAACGGTTCGTCATTTTTATTAAAACTTACGAATTTTATACTTACAAATGCTTAAATTTTTGAATACATTCTCCACATCTTTCTAACAGTATACTAATATATACCAATACCTTCTCTCATATATGTATACGTATTACGCATCTTTAATTACTATAATTTTGGTGATTATTACAAATAATTGCACCGTAGTTATAAAACATTGATAATTATAACAAATATTATAATACTTAAGTATTTAAATAACAATAATAATATTGTATAATGATATTGAATATTATTTATTCTATAATATTATATGTTTAATATATTATATACATTATATGTTAATATAATAGTACTGCTAAGAATATTATAACTTTGACTCTTAAAACTTTATAATTTTTAACAAAGCTCTACACATCAAGAAATATCATTCATAGATAATGTTTACTTGCACCAGTTCTCTTTTTCGTTTTCTTGGTTCTTAAATTGAATTGGGAAATAAGATGGATGACGGAAGAGTGTGGGGGAAATTTACCATCGCCAGAATGAAGATACGGCAATTCTCTACCCCTCGAAATTACGAGCGTGATGTACGCGATGGGAGTAAAAAGGTATCAGCAATTTAAGCGCGACCACAAACCACTGGTATCACGTAATTACACGCGATTTTCTGTGACACGCTGGGGTTAATGATAGAGCCCGAATTTTCATGTTATGAAGAAATTAATTGTTACTGAGGTGTTTGTTCAGTTGTGTGTATCGTGCGGAAAGTTTGATTAACACTGAATCTACCGAGCCGTTCAATTTGACTTATGTTGTCAACAATTCTTTTTAAAGTTATTCAATGATTAACAATGCTTTTGGTGCAATTTTTATGACTGTTGTTGAAGTACGACACAAATATTACTGTAACATTGGATCATCCTTCATTCCCTACAACGTTATTATTAGCATTGTTTGAAGTAATAAAAAGAAGTAAAACTACATATGTTGCTTCTGTCATAATTATAGGAGTGAACTAATATTAAATTATGAAACTATAATTTATATTTATAGCCATTATATATTCCAAGCACGCTGTTAATTTCCATACTTTATTAGACTAATAATGAGGCTAATATAAAGCTAATATTTTCCTAAACATTTGTTAAATTAGACGCTTTAAGGGGTAAATTCTTTAAACAATTATGTATCTGTGAAGTTGGTAATTTAAACGTCCCCACTTTTTTGTGCAAACTACAGCATATTTCGGTATCATAAAAATCCCCAACATTCATACGCAAAAATGTTCGATTTGACATGGGATGGTTCGAGCTGGTACGAACGAGTGCAATAAGCCCTGGCAGTACGCAATTCTTTTCATCGAAACTCTCTGAATATTGACGTGTTATTCGACAGATCAATATCGGGACGGATAGTTGGCAGCGTCTGGTGGTTCTTCACCCTTATTCTGATCTCATCGTATACTGCCAATCTAGCTGCATTTTTGACAGTCGAAAGAATGGTGGCCCCGATCAATTCGCCAGAAGACTTGGCCTCGCAAACGGAAGTTCAATACGGCACACTCTCTCACGGATCCACTTTTGATTTTTTTCGCGTGAGTAACACATCACAAAGAAAAGAGTAACTGCGATATTCATTGTTAATTCTGATTTAATAAGGAACATATCTGAGATAATGATTGATATAAAATAGACTAATTGTTAACTGGGTATATGTATATTTCTAGTCTTATAATATTTTTGACTGATGAATGCAGCCTTCTTTGGCAGAATAAATAAATATATAACGTGGATGGGAAATATATAAATAAACAGTAGATTATACATTTATGTACTGAAAATGAATTTTTTCAAGTTTCTGTTAAATACATATTATTCAGGGACTTGCATTTGCACCATTCGTGAAAATATTCTAATATAAAATATATTGATTTAAGTTTGCTAAGAATAGTTTATTCATTCATTATCTGAGAAAAGTATTTGGAAAAATTGAAAGAATTCCATCGAAGAAACGGTTCATGTTGGATCTGCAGAAATCGCAGATCAATCTCTACAGCAAGATGTGGGAGTTCATGAACTCCCGGAAGCACGTGTTCGTAAAAACGTACGACGAGGGCATACGGAGGGTGAGGACAAGGAAAGGCAAGTACGCTCTTCTGATAGAGAGTCCGAAGAACGAGTACATCAACGAGAGGGAGCCCTGCGATACGATGAAAGTCGGTAGGAACCTTGACGCCAAAGGGTTCGGTGTTGCGACACCGCTGGGATCTCCACTCAGGTAAATTTTTATAATTTATATGAATATTTATAGTAAATTAAATTATTTGATAGCGTAAAAATATTAAACAGTTATGTCAATCCATGCATATGGTTCGTTTTTAGATGTATTTATATTTATTATATACTTCTTATTTACTTAACACTGCAAGAAAGTCATATTATATTTTTATATCAAATTTTAATTATCTTTGTCAGACGAAAGATTCCTTAGTCGAATACGTGTGTCTCTATTAGTTTAGACAATGAAGTTTCTACTGTTCAGTAAAATTCCGGTTGATTTAAATTGTACGTTCATACTAAGAATAATAATATTGCAAAATGTAATCGTAATATAAAAGGTGGGATTATCAAAGAAGAAAAAGAATACTACAGTGTGGGAGAATTTTTAATTTCCTCGTGTTTCCTCTTAGTTAATAACAATAAAACTAAATAATGATATTCTGTACGATATTCTAGCAATTTTGCAGAAAGAAAGCATATAACGTGAGGGCATTGGATAGTAAATGATATATAATTTATCTTGGTACATTTGTATTCATCTTATCACATTAAATAATCTTATTCTCTACAACCTTACAATTGTAATTGTACACTTTTCGTTGTCCTACCATTTATTTTAAAATTATCTTCACATGTTAATATATTGACACTACCGTATCTTTTAAATTTATCATTATTATCAGTACAAAAATATTAATTAATGATAATTTTCAAAAAATAGTATAAAAGAATATATAATTCAGCGATAGTATAGCTTTATTTTACATATGTATATTTTGTAGCATGTGAAATATATAATCAACTATTTTAACATTTCACATCCTTTAGTCATTCACACTTTAAGTATCAGAAATGTTCATAACAATTAACTCTGCTTGTGAAAATTTCACATACAATCATTTTTAACCAAGTAACAAAATTCCACATTAAAGTGATTAACTAATGTAACAACACGATACGATCAGAGCGTCTAAAAGTTTTCGATAAAATGCAAAGTTGTTCGAGTAAGTTTCTTAATATAGCACACATATATTGAATGGGAGGACGCGTTCGACCTGTTTCTTCCCATATCCGCGAACGCGTAATTAACGAGATTTTGAAGTCGTCGAGAAGAGACAAGGCATCTTTCCCTCCGCCACGCTTCAACCCTTTAAAATTCCGTTGCTCACGGTCCTTCTTGTCGCAGCACGTCACGTCGTCGCGCACAATTAGCATAGAAGAACTCGTATACCTGTTTTTTCGTATGATTACCGCTTAAGGGACAGAGCTCTCGCTATTGAATCCACTCTGTTCGTCGATTCGACTGCCATTTTTGTCCCGTACTTCTGCAGCCTCGAGGAAAAGCTTTTAATTTCTTATTGAAAAGCTACGGACACATCGATTTTCCTGCGTCTGATTGTATCCCTGTCAATTTTCATTCCTCGAGCAATCTTTCATACTTTTATTTATATAACGGATTCGTAAATTAGAGACGATTAACTCAAGATTGTATCAAATTAGTTTAATTCAAGTTTCGTTTTCGTAAATGGCAAGGAGGTCTTGCAATTAATTATGAGAAGTCCAAATAATTGTTTGGTTGTCATGAGTGATTCAATCATTTAGGGAGTGGAGTGTAGTGTTGAGTTAATTGAAAGTTAATACTTTAGGATGTCTATATTCTCTACCATTTGAGGCATTCGCCAGGTTTTGCAAAATAAAATACTGCAACGTGATTTCCCGACATGGTCCGCGATTCGCGTCGGGAAGTGTGCAAAGTGAGAGTTTTCCGACTTCTCACGCCTTTACGGGAAAACCCGAGAAGCCGAACGTCGCGAAATTTACCACGGCTAGCGATCCGGATCGCAGAGAAGGGCGTGGATCGTCGGCGAGGAAAGGAAGTCTGGGAAAGCCGTCTTCACGACGAGACGGGGCGGATTAACACAGCACTCATTTAAAATAATATAGAATATATTGTACGCGAAAGATGTTACAGAATTCGGTGTACGCTGCCGAGCTGTCGTAGCGTCAAAGGTCACCGGGACGACCGGTAACCGACACGAGAACTACGTTTCGAAAACACGTGCGGATTTCGTTCACGATAGCCCAAATTCCGTCGCGATTCGCACAAAAGCGACTTTGGAAACGATATTCGGACAGTCTTGACGCGGTCACGGTGGGCTCGACCTTCTCGACGAGAACGTTAACCGGCAGCGATTCAAACACGTGCGTGTTACAATGGACTCGCGACTAGATGTTCGTTAATTCGCTCGATATCCTACGCAAAGGCGGTTTCCCGCTAACAACGCTATTTCGCCCGACAGGGTGCTCGGCAGCCACCAGGTAACCCGACCAATTCATGATATCCTATCCATGAGCGTGAGGTAAAGGAGGAAATAGGACGAGCTACGCGAGCTCGTCGCACGCGTTGGCTCACGCGCTTCTCCCCAGCCTCACCTCAATGGTCGGCGGCACGCGGCACCTTATGGAGGCCAAATTCAAATCGCGTTATCGGCGCGCTCGTCATCGGCGATCGTCCAGTCTCGTCCCTCGGCGACTTTGGTGACGTGTCGGTGCTGGCATCCCTCGAAGACTCTGGAGCGGGCCGGGTCTCGGTGCACTCGAGAACCCGGCTGACTTCGCTATCCTAAACGGCCTCCTGCCCCTGAAGGTCGTAGCGGAGTCCAAGGGCTGTTACCAAGAATCTCCAGCCCCTGTCCATTTGAGCTTCGTCTGGCCAGTCCGTGCAGCCGGCGCCGGGTTGGACGGGATCGGTAGCTTCTAAGCCGCATCGCTCGGTGTTGCCGTCGTTAGCCCAACGCTATTGCCCTTCAGATATTTTAAAAATATTAAATATTAGTCATAACTAGTCAGCAAATTAGTCATAACCCTGAGTTACCCTGGTGGCGCTCTCGATCTTGGTCGGTCTCGTTCCCCGCGGAGAGTTCACCTCTTTGTGACGTGGGAATCTGCCAATACTTTAAAAAATTAAAATAGAAAGGGCATGTATAAGGTGACATAAATGTGTCTATGTATAATAAGAAGATAAAGGAAATCAAGTATGAGTTATGAAACATTTAATATTATAGGCAAACGAAATTGTTACTGTAGTTAATACAAGAAAAAAATACCAATAACTTTCTTACAGCTCTCTTGCTGTTATCTTATTTTTTTATTTATACTGGCATCTGATTCTTTTGATTATACAATCTTCAAGTATTATTAAATAGAATACATTGAAAAATGAAAATCGAAAGGACACATTTAAAGTGATACAAATGTATAATGAGAAAATGAATGAAATACAAAATAATTACTGCAAAATTTTATTTGGTAAGCGAAACAAGTTTGTTACTTTAGTTAATATCAACGCATAAAACAACAATACATACCTTTATTATGATATAAATACTAATTTGAAATATTTTATCTATGTATTATACCTACATATAATTTGAAATTTCTCTTGGGAAAGTATTGCTTCGTTTGATAATATACGAAACATGTCAGAGCGAAACTGAAATCGTTAATATTTTCAACATTACAGAGACCCGATAAATTTAGCGGTGCTGTCGCTGAAGGAAAACGGCGAATTGACAAAACTGGTAAACCGATGGTGGTACGACAGAACGGAATGCAGGCACGGTGACAAACAGGATGCATCGAGGAACGAGTTGTCCCTCAGCAATGTTGCAGGGATATTCTACATCCTTATTGGTGGCCTTCTTTTAGCACTGGCCGTCGCCCTACTGGAGTTTTGTTATAAATCGCACACGGAAGCTACAAGAGCGAAGGTAGGAAATCATTAGTAATCATTAATGTAACAAATATTGTTGTAAGATTGATCTATCTTTTGCGACACTTTCAAGTATTCAGGTGTAATTTTACAATGTCGTTCGAAGCATATTACTAATCTAAAGCATAATGATATGTAGCATATTAAATATTATTTTATTAATAAGTGAACAAAAGTAAAGTATGAACAAAACTGAAATAAACAGAACCCGCTCGACAATCCGCTGTACGTCTATTCGCACTATCTTTACCCTTCGACCGCTCAACCACCTCTGTCTCCAGTGCTTCTTCTCCTAAAGTTAAAATCTACCCAGGGTTGTTCCCAGATAGGGGAACGTTATCCTAGGCAGCCTCGCCGGGGCGCGCCTGGACAACATCGGTCCAAGCAGCTATGTGAACTTGCCACCCGATTTTTCAAAAATTAATTTCTTTTTATAGAAAACGATAGTATTTCGTTAATATCTGATTGTACCTCCAATAGTTTCGTTTGTACCTCCACCAATTAATAATTGAAAAAATTCAAAAAATGGCCAGCACCCGATATCGAGATTTTTGAAATCTGTTTTGTCCCGATTCTGTAGAATCGTTTGTACCCGCCGGAATCGCTTTTCTCTTCGTTTGAACCTCAAAAGTTGAAACTTTACAAGCAATTGTTGATACTGTTGAATTTAAAAATTTAAACTATTGAGGTAGAAACGAAATGAAAAGCGGTACAAACTGGTACAAACGATTCTAAAGAATCGGGAAAAACCGGTTTCAAAAATCTCGCTGTCGGGTGCTGACCATTTTTTGAATTTTTTTTAATTATTAATTGGTGGAGGTACAAACGGAACTATTGGAGGTACAATCAGGTACTAACGAAATACTATCGTTTTCTATAAAAAAAAAAATTCATTTTTGAAAAGTCGGGTGCCAAGTTCACATTGCTGGTCCAAGCAACCTGGTCAAACATTAAACCAATCTAAAACTCTCCCTCTCTCTCCCTCTCCCTCTCTCTCCCTCTCTCTCCCTCTCTCCCTCTCTCTCCCTCTCTCTCCCTCTCTCTCCCTCTCTCCCTCTCCCTCTCTCTCCCTCTCTCCCTCTCTCCCTCTCTCTCTCTAATTTCGAGCTTGAAATTCCGCCACTAGCTTAGTACAGAAATATTCAATTTAAAATCACTACGCGACTGAGACTATAGGAGGTAAATTTTCAATGTACTAACGATATAGAATTGCTTACTTTGTTTTTCTAAAAGGAATGGTTCTCGGAGAAGATTTTATTCGGCACACCATGTGCACATATCCTACAATATCTGAAAATGGAGTCGAACCACGTATAATTAACATTCACTTTTCCAGATACCACTGTCAGATGCGATGAAGGCGAAAGCCCGACTGACGATCGGCGGCGGTCGAGATTTCGACAATGGCCGGGTGAGTGACACGATCACTTGCTAACACTTAGATTTTTGTTGTCGATCGCACGCGTACGCCGCGATTAAAATCCGTAGAAATGCGTTGGCGTCGGATGTGTGGGGATGGAATATAAGCTTCAATTCTTTAAAACCAACGACAGAGTCGAAGAACATATTCTAGGAAAAAGGAATATCAGAAGAATATCAGTTGCGAATAAAATTTTGAGTTTCAAAATATATTTATAAATTGGATACTCCATTACTTCTAGAACAATTAAAAAGGAAAATGAGCCATAAGCATGACCTAATATGTTCCTTTAATTATTATATAAAATGTATACATTTCGAAGTTAAACATTATATAAAACACGAAAAATAATTTTCCAGGAACAAAATGAGTCATAATTATTGGACTTTTTAGACCAGCCAGAAAATATAATCGTCAGAATATATAAAGTTTATTTGTTACATTACAATGTTTTTTTATGTTTTGCCTATTCCATAGAACCCCTTCAAGAGTTAGATTCTAATAAGATTGTCATATACAGATTTCGAAGAAAAGTCAAATGCATAAAATATCATAACAAAGTTTTTAATATAACAAATATATTTCACCTATTTAGCAAATACGATTATTGCTCTGAAAATTGTAGTGCATAATACTAAGCAGGCCAAAGAAAAATCAATTGTTTATTTTAATTATATCCCTTTCAGTGAAATCTACATCGGATGGCCATTTTAACTTATACATAAATCAGTACACATAAGTCTACCTCTCCAACAATAATTTTATTTCTATCAATGCATAACGAAATATTTTCAAATACATCATACCAAAAAGAAAAAAACTATAAGCCTTCGACGTCAAGAGTTTTCGTTTGCACGATTCGAATTATCATCACCAGGAGTATTATATGATTAATTCAAGACTGATCTACATTTTTACCTGAAATACCATACAATACCTTCAATATTTAAAACTGTGGCTACACGTTACATTCGAAACGGGTTCATCCCCATCGATCTCTCTGCCAACGATCTTGTAATCGTGTACATACATACGTAACGAGAGACCATTATACATATCCGTGTAATACATACCTATCTCTCTTTATATATATAGCTATATACGTATACATAGAAACATACAATAGAGTACGTTTGGCATGCAGTTAGCAGAGTGTATACGCTCGACATATACATTGTGGTTGAAAGACGATCGAGCGTCGAGAATTTGGAATGGGGTTCTCGAGCGTTGTCTACACGACACGACCTACCCCGCAGTCGATCAGCGATCCTAATCGATGCGTCGTGTATGCATAGATACGAATATAGCATATTATACATATACATATATACGTAAAATGCGTGCGATGTGCGGCTGGGCTGGATCTGTTGCGCTCTTTTCTATCTCTGTCTATCTACCTCTCTATCTTTCACACTCTGTCTATCTATCTCTATCTCTCTATCTATCTATCTCTTATTCTGTTTGTACTCGATGGATGCAGAAGACGTATTTGCTCGTTTGCGCGTTTCGTTCTACTTTTGTTTTTGTCTCTAGTGGTACGGACTGCAGAGTTAGACGGAGGATGCATGCGCCTTTCCCGGGACCATATGTGAGTACTCTCGCCCTTAATTTTAATTCCCAAGTTTTTTTATACGTATCATTCTGCATAGTTCATCCTCCCCGCTTCTTCTGTACACGGCTTTTAATAGCGCCCCACGCTCCTTTTCCAATCTTCTATCGCGTTGTCACGAAGGGTCCCATGGAAATGACCGACGCAGACTTCGCCAATCAGAATTCACGGACACTAGCTTTACCCAACACTAATATTCATCGCCGTATACATTTCCCTATACAATTCTCTTTGTAGACTATAACATACATAATAGTAGATCAATTTTTTAATTGAACGCTCTTTATGCCTGTAAAAATGATAATCTTTAAAAGGAAAGCCACCTTGGTCGCGTAAAAATCATAGCTATATTCAACAATTACACTAGTTTACAGCCAAAATGTACATTCAATGACACAATTTTTTTCTTATGTATTTTGATCTACTAAACTCGAAAAATGCAAGAAAATATTTTTCTATGGATAGGTTTTTTTTATATGAATTTTTGAATTTTTTTTCGATTTTTTTCTGACATACGTTCATATTTTAGACCATATCTTGAGTTAGAAACGTCCGATTGAATCGTGGAACCGAATTTGCAACAATTGCTTTTAACATTTTTTTCCAATCAGTTCAATAGTTTAAGTGTTACGAGCCAATATATATGAGAAACTTTCATTTTTTCAGCTAAAATAGAACACGAATATTTCTTCTATCGCCATGGAAAAATAGAAATTGTCAAATTATGTGCAGTTTCTTATTGTTTACGTATAGATCGCACTTTTACGAAGAAAACAAGCTTTTGTTGAAGAAAATCTATGGATAAATACCGGAGTTAGGAACATTAGGATTATGTCGCAAATAGTTTTTATATCTTGGTGAAACCTTTCGCTGAGTTCGTCACTTATATCGCCAAGATTCTCCAGGAAAAAATCCAAGTGAGAATATAAAAAATGAATTTTGAGCGAGATATTTACGCCTGTTGAAATTAAAATTGAAATTAAATGTACATATTTTTCCATTTTGTCAAATCAAATAGAATAACAATATATATTCCATACCCATATTTGCATAATTTATTAACAAATCTTCAACAACTTCCTTATAATTCATACTCTGCCGAGCCAGAACCCCTAAACTATTGAGCAGCGCTATCAAGGATATCGGGATGAAAAAATGTTGGGAGACTACATTTGGTTGCGTTTGGTTCATGTTGGGTTTGTCCGAGGTTTAAGGTCTAAAGGTTTCTTTAATTTTGTTAACCCCTTCCATTACTCCTGGCCCCTTCAGAAGTGACGTTTTTCGACGCGTCCCCGTTTAAGGGGGTGAATTAACCCCTTCGCGTCAATCCTCGCCAATACAATTTTATACACGCTTAGGGGACACTTCAGAAGTACTCCTCACGCAGTTTCATTTCAATCGGTTGAAAACTTCTATAGTTACGACGGTTTGAAAAAATGTCCCAATAATTGTTTGAAGCAGTGTATTACGTGACGAACGGAAATTATTATTAATATCTCAACACTTGATCGTGTTAATTATACGCGAATTAAATCTTTGAAAAAAGGAATGCTCATTTTACTGTTTCACTTCTCAGGAAATGAGAGCTGACACGGATGAAAAGCAGCATTTAGTTCTTTTACGTCAACGTACAATCTCGACGAACACAGGCGACTTCCACCTGCTCCCACGGTTCTGTAGTTTTTCCTTCGCCTCGACAGCTTTGGTTATTTTGAGAGGCTAGCTTACGAGCGTGAAATGTGCATGGCTTCGAGCAATTTTATAGCAGTCAGAGCAAGGCGTGGTTCGACGAATCGCATGTCGCTTTCAAAGATCGCAACGCTTACACATTAGACATACTATACGCGGGATATGATCGCATTCATTCTGTCCTTTCTCACGCGACGTACCAAAGGTACCATTCTTTTTCCCCTTTCGTCTCTTCTGTCATGCGAAGCGAGCATGTTGCACAAAGGACAGGACGATAGTAAGAAAACAGAGAACAATTTTATGCACTTCTAGCGAAACACTCTCGCCGCGTTCACTCGTGAAGGTTCATACACACATTTAACGACTCGACGCCTCGTTCGAGGCACTTGAATTAATTTAAGGTACTTGGCAAGCTATCGAAGGCACGATTGACATTATCTTCTTGCGTCAAATGCGACTGAATGATTCGTTCCTGTCATCGATCACATATCTCTTCTTAAAAACACTTCTCATCAATTTCTGTCACGGCGATGGTTACAATTGACTGCGGACGTTTATGTATGGAAAATATTCATACTGTATATAAATTGTACAAAAATGTATTGCAAATTATTCGAGAATTATGTCGTAATTCTGTAAAACATACTGGAATCATGGTGAAACATGGAAAGTGTATAGAATGTACGTGTTAGTGTACGTGTTAGTGTAAGATATTTTTTTTTAAGGTCTAAGTTATCAAGCAAGATGTTACCAGGCAAGATAATATGTTGTTTAATATGTTATTAAATATCCTTAGAGCATAGATCGTTGTCTCGAGTGACTTGGAAGGAGCTGTTACATTATGAGGTAAAAATATAGTGTTTTATCTAGAATGGAAGATAAAGCTGACCTTGAAATCTTTTTAACATTATCGTCGAATATTATATACTATCTTGAATATTAAACTTATTTGGTATGAATACTTTGGCTGTACGAAAACAGTATCTAAATTTGTTAGGAAGTTCCTTTCTGAAAAGCAAAATAAAGTTTTAAGTTGAGAGTTATATAGATAAAGAGTTTCTGTTATGTAGAATTTAATTGATGTAAAATGAAGCTTTTCTGTGAATTAAATTTTTTACTTTTTCAATTTAAAAAAAAAAAATACACTAATACATTAGTATCTTTATTATTTATACACATATGTATGTATACATATGTAAGTATTGAGAATATAAAAATATATGTATATGCATGTATAGGAAAATGTGATATCAAAATGTATATGTATGTATAATTATATTAGAAATACCTGTTCAATCTACGATTATGATATGAAGATCATTTTCTCAAGGTCACTTTCCTCAAGACTTCAAGGTTATCTTAACTAACTAAACTGTGCCATTGTTTACACGTAACACTATAAATCATTAATACACAGAGAAATTATTTGTTCAATGGCGAAAACCATAGAAATATTTAAAAAAGTGTTTCATTATCGCAACTATGTAGATTACAGATTTAACACATTTATGGTTCATGGCAAGCTTGAAAACATAAACACAAATACGTATGCAGAATAAATTTCATTAATTATTAACTCTGCACGTTATTAGTATATGTTTTTCATACATGCATACTCCAGAAATGTATAAAGTCTGTAGTTTGGTAATAACTATACCCGAAGCAACGTAAATACGTAATATAAAGTTCGATATTCGTGTATCTCCGAATAATGAAATGCGTACTGATCGTAATTTCATTCTTTTATTTGTTTCTAGATACGAATGTAGATTGGTATAAACATCCGCATTCAATCGCCAGAGAATTAACGCACACCAATTCACCTATGAGTCATTCTACGCTAAACTGATCATTTCATGCAATAGACGGCAGGGATTTTGGTGAAACTCAAGTGTGATGTAATCCATAAAAAATTAAAGGGGGTTTAAGTCATCATACTATTTCATCTATTTTATTGTTGTGTACATCATTCTTGTTAAATTGAGTAAGATATTGTACATATTTACCTATTTGTATTATAAAATTTATTACTTCAGAAATATCTATTCAATATCAATTCTATAGGTCTATTTTATTTCTGGAGACAACTTACAAGGCATTTACTTTGATATTTCAAGTTGTCATTCAATATTGTCATTAATTATCAGAGACATTATATAATTAAAACGTATACGTCATCTTGTGCAATGAAACTGAAATTATTTGGTAAAATGTTGATATATTAGCATGTGCTATGTGTTGGCATAAACTATCCTCATTGCGATTTCGAATTTATATGTATATCAATTATAGCTGATGGTGTATACAGTGTAAAGAAGATTAAAATGTGAAATAATGAATACAAATTTTTATTTTAGCAATCTTAACCTTTTGATTAATATATCGCTTGACATGTCAAAATAAAATGGAAAATAAACAAATGAATAAATAACTGGAAATAAACAACTGGTCGCTAATAAGGTCGCGGTCATTAATGTAGTCATCTACCTTACTTGTAATAATTTAATCCAAATGGCCAAACTATTTCCACAAAGATAAAAGAAGGGTTCAATTCTCCACTACTTCTCTAATACATAGTTTCTTAACTAAAAAATCCTTATATACATCTCGTTTTCGCTCAAGAAATCATAAATTACGAAATCCACCCTTCCATATCATCTCAACAACTTCAAAACCACCAAAGTAATGACTCAAACCTTCCCTCTAATTTCACGTGGACATCATTGTCACCCAGTTTCGCAAAAATCCTCCTCATCGCCCACAAGAAATGCTCGATTCCATGTGGAACGATCCCCCACGTTCTCCACGAATCGAGTCGTCATAACCGTAAACTCGAATCGCACACGCTAAACACACTACCGTTGAATTTTCAGTACTACGCTCCGGCAAACGCGATTGGCAATACGGAGGGCGACCAGGTGCACAGCAATACGCATACCCAGGTGTAGATTACCTGGAGTCGCCAAGCGAGTCGCCCGCCATCTCCCTGCCCACACCTCCGCCGCCGCCCCTGGTGGCGGCCCTGCCCACGCCGCCGCCACCGCCGCCCAGAAGACCGCGACGAAGCGTCACATTCGCGGAATCGCCGCCGAAGAGCCCGAAAAGGTTCAGGTTCTCACCGTTCCAGCGGAAACCGGGCAACCTGATGCTAGACGTCGCGGTGCCCTGGACCCCGGCCTCCCCGCGCGTCTGGACTGGCAAAATCGGCGAGGACAAGCCCGAGTACGTCAAGTAAACACGACGTCGTTTCACGAGTAATCACAGGAAGCTTGTCAGTTGGTGCTCGTCGTGGATCGCGTCTATGACGATCGGGAGCCTCCTGACTATCCTCGACCCTCAACCCTAAGCAACGCGTTTGCCGCTAGTCGAATCTCCGCGACTCGCCGTTCCTAGGTTCGTTTGTCCTATTCGACGTGATAGGGACCTAGCACTTGATAAGCGATACTGTTTCTATTCTACGTAGGGGATGAGGAACCTTCCGTGGAGGCGTATTATGTCGGATGAATGATAATCAGTTTTTCACTTGTTCTGGGATTGTTTCGTTTTTACGTATCCTTGCGATACCATGGGTTTGTGGTGAATCAAGTGTGATACAAAACCCTATACCTAATGGTTGCTATTGTTTAATCATTTTTTTCAGATGTACGTTTGAAAGATTCATTTTGTATAGTACTATTGCTCGATGAAAGAAATGGTAAATAAGGAGGAGGTTTAGTGTTCATAATACGTATGTTAGAGGAAAGACAAAATTACCAATCATACATAGCAGTGATACTATTTGTGATAATAACTTCATCGATACGATTTAAATGATTCCGTAATGACTAGCAACTAACAGACACTATGTGTCTGAAAGTCCTGCAGCAATTAATTTTATTTCAAAATTCCTTTCCAATGAAAGATATTTTGTTTATCCACTGTTTGGAGGGATATACATTTTTCATAGGAACATATCATAATGAACTTGTTCCAGAAATTACAGTTTTCTATTCGTATATGTGTTTATACTGAGCTGGAAGACCCGGAAGATCTTTGAAAAAATGACGATTTAAGTGTATCGAGACGCGTTGAGAGCAATAGAGCTATCTTAAATTGCCCTAATTATCAAGTTTTTTCTTTTTTGCAGATCTGATACGCCACATATAAATATACGCATATGAAATGCCTAGAACAATCTTTCTCAATCTATTGCTGGTCCGTACTATGTCGAATAATATGAATCAACCTTTTTCTCCAGCTTTCAATCTCGGTGTACAGGGCATAGCAAGTCATTCTTCTCCAAAGATCGACCTCCTAGCTTTAGAGCTGTCTAATATTAATTATTTTCGAACTGAAATAATAATACTTTTTATTTGTTTTTCTAACAGAGGCTGTTAAGAGGCGTCAATGATCGTATAAGCCCTTTTCAGTAGAATGATACTCCATTTTATGTATTTTCCAATACAGACTGTTAAGAGTTACAATAATCCTTATCGACTTTATAAGTCATCAATTATTTTCCAGAAAAGTAATATACTTTCATATTTATTCCTTAATAGATATTTGTGAGATGAACTTACAACGATACGGTACAGTATATTACTTTTAAATACTTAAACAATAAATTATTTTATTTTATTACTTTATATATTTACTTATTTTGTCTATTTAGTGCACTAATATATAAATAAGGAACACATAATACAAACGCGTTAAATTTATCTAATTTTATTAAATTGTACTTACGCTTTATCAGTATTTTATTTTATCATTGCATATGCTTATTCACTTAACGAATTTATTGTACAATTACGGATGAATACATTTGAGACGAATTTATATAATTTTATAAAATTGTATTTAATTTGAACAAAATTTTATACAATTTCATACAATTTTATAAAATTACATCTAAGTAAACTTCCAATTTTACATAATCTTACCAATATTGAAAAGCACAATCTGAAGCAAACACCAATGATATAATATCTTATCTACGTTTGCAAGGCTAAGTTATCGATAATTTCGTCGAGCCAATTTATATCCCGCTATACTTTGAGGACTTGATCCTAGTAACTCGTAGATTGGAAGCCCGAGAAATCGCTCGGAAACACGGAGAGCCGTATCACGGTCTGGCGGGAGCTCCCGTGATCACGCCGAACTTGTTTCAAGTACAGTGATCGCGTCGATTCGACAAGGATCAACGCGATCCGTCGAGGATGGACACCGTACGGGAGTCCTCGCCGCCGGTCGCGTTTGTACATTGTATATAAATTATAATCGAATCAAACGAGACGAATCAAAAAGAAAAATAAGCAGACACAAACGAACACACCGGCTGTCCGCGACAGAACAGTGTCGTGACATTCGATAGTAGAATTCGATGGTCCCGGGGTGGGTGCATGTGCAACCAACAGCTTGAACGATACGTTAAACTGCAATTCCGTGAGGACGAGAGCCCGTAACACGCACACGAAACACGTTAAACATGTACACGAGCACATAAACACGTACATATATGTATACATATTATACGAGGGAAAATGCACGTCGGTCGAATTGGACAGAGATGGGCAGAACTTTGCTAGAATAATGAACGACTGAATCACAACTCAGACAACATTGAACGGTTACTCGACGAAGCTTCCGAACGAGGTGCAACTTCATTTTACAATTCGAATTGTAAGCCTCGTTCGACGCTAGGTTTACGGTGATTCAATGTATCTTCGCTGCATTGTTTATTTGTTTTTGGGGCATATTTTCTAAGAAGATTTCGATTGCGTTTATACCTATTAACGAAGTAATTTGGAAGTATGCTTGTCTCTTTGTGAGGATAGAAGTTAGCATAAGTGGCGGGCGTAAAATGTAAATGGCTTCAGTGATTTTCCTTGTGAAATTCGAAAAGGGTGGACACGACCTTACTTCGTAAAGCTGGCGTTAAGAAATAACGAACTGAATCATGTTCATCTTTCGATCGTTATAAGTAACTTTTTATGTAGATTGTGCCCATCTCTGCCGGTTGCGAACGAAGAAGACACGCGATGAATTGGGGGAAACGATCGACGAGGAGAGTTCGCAGGACGAAGGAAAACCGATGAATGAAATGGACGGGTCGGGTTGATCGTGACGATGACACTACTATTATTATTACCATTACTCTGATTAATATTATTGCGACCGGTAGATTTTATTATGGATTCACGGTTAATTATGACGATCAATGGTACACCCGGTGTAACCCTATTTTGTGGATCTCGCGAGAATGGAATTATTCGTTGCGTCAGAATTAAAATGATAGGAAAAAAAAATGAAAAAAAAAAAAAGAGCAAAAGAAGAAAAAAAACAAGTATGAGCAAACCAGCACTGGAGCCGCGATACGTTTTTTAACTGACAATGGTGTATAATCACATCGATGCGTGAGTAATGCGTGTGTGATAAGTAATATATATATATTATATATATAATATATATATATATATATATATATATATATATATATAAAAATGAATATAAATATAAATATACATACGTATAGACGTTTATTGAAAGATGTACGATGCGACGACTGCGTGGTGGGCGAGTGAACGTTAACGAGCGAATGGAAATAGGTTTAATCGTGTAAACGCATTATTAAGTACCTATCACTGCCAGTTCGCGCCGATCCGACCCGAGAGAGAAAAAAAGAGCGCTGTTTTCTTGTACGACACACTCGCACATTTTACACGTCGCTGTTCCATGTTCCCGCGATCGAGGGGTTCCTTTAAGTCGTCGGATCGCCGTGATCTGGCTGGATGAACGATGTTTACGGCCAAGGTTTTTCGTGCCAAACGACGGTGCCTCCTTCGATGACGATGGCCCGATGCTACGGTCCTTTCGAGACGTCCGCGAATTCACTTTGATGCCCAATAAGTCTTAATGTGACGATTATTAAATTTAATAATTAAAACCAAGTCATTTTATTCATTATTTTTATTTAACGTCTTCGGTACGCAAAATGTGACTGTAAAGATACATACGAGCGTGAATAACACAGAAAATACGTAAATATAAGAAAATATTTACTTACATATTATTTGTATAATATTAATATGGTCATATGAACTGCAATACACTTGTAGTTATACAATTACATCATAGTTTCTACTTATAAATAAATGAAGTGCTTTTAGTATTAAATATGTGGTTTGAAAATGACAGAAAAATAAATCGTGTTTAATATTATTTGACTTTAATTAAAAACTATAATAAGTATTAGTGGATGCGATTTCAATTAGCCTATTTATTTATACAAATTTACTCAAATTTTCGAAAAATTATATAAAAATTATTATTTTACTCTTTTGCTCAATGTTATCAGTGAAGTAATGTGCAATTAAATACATTATTTGGAATTTGGGGAGATCAGTGTGATACCTCATTATATTACAAATATTGATTACATTAAATTTCACAAAATTTGCTCATTATAAATGTACATAATTCCAGAAAAATCAATCCAAAATAAAATTTCTGCATATATTCTGGTTATAATTTAAATCACTTTGATATTGAATTTCATGTTTCTAAATTAAGCGATAAAGTGCCCATGCATAACTGTATTTAAATCAGAGCCCAAGAGAGACGAAAGAATGTCTCGAGAAGTCCTTGGTTATCGTCGTAGCATTGGACGTGACAGGAGGAGGCATCGCAGAGCCAAATTGCATGTTGCGACGTATAAAACTATTTTTCTGGAATGCACTAACTAGCTGTTTCTATTGAATTTCAGTTCACGTTTATTTACTGAACGAACTGCCATACGATTACCGAAAATCACGCCAATTACCCAAGGAAAGAACCTTTGTGTCTTTAGTTCCGTCCGGTCTCAGCGTTCGCGAATCCCGAATGCGACCGTGTCGGGCTGGAAACTCGATGCACAGTGGTACGGAGCCTAAAAAACGCAATAACGGAATCGTCACGCTAATACTTGATCATTTTCCATTAGATAAATCGTGGTTTGAACATTTCTTTTTAGGTCAGAGTTGATTTTCTGATTAAAATTTTTAATGAGATCAAATTAATCTCTGTAAATAGAAGAAGTAATTAAAATATTTTTAAACTGTTCCTTTGTGACAATGATATTTCAATTACAGTATGAAATTGCCAAAATCGGCTGAAACAACGTATACATATAATGATTGTATAAAAGAATTAAGGGTGAACATATATATTACACTCTTATAAAGACAATTGAAATCCAAATATTGACTATGCTTGTCGATATTCTTAGTAAATAAGGAATTTAGGTCTTTATAGTCAGAGAGTGTACATACATTGCTTGCCAACCCGATATTCCTCGTTTATTAAAAATAAACTTGAATATGTACATTTATTTTAATATAAATTCGATTTTAATAACTTTAGTGCATGATTATTAATATAGTTTTTCATTTCGTTTAGATTAATTAATCCCAGAAATTCTGGAACGATAAAGAAATTTGTATAACATACACAGCAAATTAATAACCACCAGTAAATATTTTGTAATATGTGCGTTATATAACATATATTATAATACAGTATATTATAATGTAAATTTAAAGTCATGTGAAGCATTTCCTTAATTTCCGAGTATTTATTCGTGACGTTTTCGAGCACATTTTTAAAATCACCTACATTGAAAAAAGATTTGCATTGAAAAATTACCCATCTGAAAATTGAAAAATTTGGCTTTTACGCTCATTTTGGAGCAGTCGTACCACTGTGCGACGCTGAAGGGACGTTGAACGATCGACGAGCAGGTCGAGCGAGCCGAGCAAGTTTTATACGTGGCAGCGACGAGACCGATCTACCTATCATATCGTCAGATTTTCTTATTACGACTAATTGTTATCTATCACCGGTTAATAACGATAGATAATGCGTATATCGGGTATTCAGTCGTTAAAACTACATGGTAACGAACGGTACACGCGGTGAGTAATTGTAACTTCAAAACGGTCCGGAAGAGAAACTCGAGTCATCTTGTTCGAAGGCCGTAGGTTCTCACGTCTACGTCGAACCCGAAGCGTGATCTAGTAGAAATTATGCTAATTAATCGAGGATTGCGCATTGACCCTCTATTGCATAATATATTCGATCGAGAACCCGATAGAAATCATCATTTCTGCTGCAGGACATTTTTAAAGAGTTGCGCGTGATGTATAGTCATGGGGATGTATAATAGTTTTGCTGACTTACCCATTCAGTTATTTATTAATTAAAGCAGGGCTGGGCGCCACGAATGTTTTAACGCATGGCGAGCAAGGTAACTAATGTACTACAGTGATGTCACCGCTTTGAAAATACTAGTCCCCGTGACAAAGCTGTGGCGCCATTAGTTTCTGTGCTCTCGTGCACTAAATTGGTCGTGATGCCCAAGTTTGATTAAAGATATGAATTAAAAAGCTTAGCAATCTCGTTTATGCGAACATAATATGTTTGTATTGACAAGAAAACTATCGAAAATATAGAATGTAATGTTTGATACAAAACTTACTTTTTGAGAGAAACGAATATATAAATATTTTTGAAGTATACGTCTATTTGATCTATTTGGTTACAAGACAGTTACTGTAGGATTTGACCAATCACTCATGTAAAACAAAACAATTAACCACAAAGAGCATAATTGAATTCATTATTCTAGAAATAACTTTTATATTCAATCGAAGGTTTTTACATTATACTTGGTTCATCTAATTTCAATCTGATGCCAGTTCCATATTCAGATCTGGTTGTAACTCGATTCTATCGGAAGCTTCATCAAAATTCATAGAAATCTATTCCATTATGCATGTACTAGAAAAAATTACATTTCTAACCATTTTTACATCGATGATCATATAAAAGACGAGATAATAAAATTAATTTGCTAAATAGTGAGCCATCTGCTTTTGGGGTGTGATTGATTTCTAAATAGGATAAAAAAAAGAACGGGAATCAGAAATCAATTCAAAATCAATTCAAAATCAATTCATAAATTTAATTATAGATTGTTATACATACTCTGATCTGTCTACTAGAATTGCCACAATTTACATTTCTAAATATGCGAGGAAATTGAGGTTTAATTAGTTTACGCGTGAGTCTTGGTTGACTTCATTATATATCAAAATCGTTTTATGATTCCATAACAGACTGTATAACTTTTAAGAAAATTTTTACTATTTGCAAATGTATGTTTATCGTAATAATTACCAAAAAGCCTCATGCACGCAATTCTAACTAAAGAGGATAGTACTAAATAAAAATCAAAACCAATGGTCGTTGGTTGGAAACATCACTAGATTTCCTACCTATACAAATAAATTATGACTGTACAAACTAAATCCTTTATTTGTGAATACCATACCAATTCATATCTACATAATTACTAATCATTAATTAATTCATGGACGTATAAAAAAAACAAGAAATGACATCTCCATTGACCAGATTGCTAAGTTCTACAATTCTTTACACTGCAAACAATGTTTCAAGTATTGATCAATTCATGGACCGATAAACGATAAATAAATAAATTCTTTTTCCCAGGAAACTGTAAAATTCGTGCAATAGAGGGTTAGTAGAGGACAAAGGGTCGATAAGAAGGCCCACGAAATTCTTCGAGGTTGCGCGGCGCCAGATTCGAAACGCGACGGTATTTTTGTTCTCCCCGTCGTTGTCGCCATTAATGTTTCCGTGTTGATGTTTGTCGTGACTTTTTCTATCTTCAAATTCATTGGTACGGAAGGAACGAATTTTCCTTCGAAAAGAAATAAATAAATGATGTAACAATCCCCGAATACCGTGGCGGCGTCGTTGCGTGTGCAGCTCACGAAGACTGCACTAATGTGTCTCCGCCTGTTCTCCATGCACCTTGCACTTATTCTTTTCATATACAATCGAGGGGATCTTCTACTTTAGATGTTTGAAAAAGATCGATTTCCTTTGAATTGGTTCTGCTTTGGGTCACATAATGGTAACTACATAGAATCTTCTTGAAGGTTTTTATGTCTTAACAGTATATTGTTATTATTGTAAAATGTCAATTCGAGAAATTGGTGAAGTTACAGAAGTTGTAAGGTCTGTACTCTCAGATATAGCAACGTTTACATTAAACAAGAAACGGAGTCCTTCTTTTTTGGTCGGTGGAATTTAAAAATCGGTACTTTTTGAGTAACATTTATACAAATAAGAAATGTAATATTTATTTGTATAGAAAACGCCAAATTCCATCGACGTACTTTACACAGAATATTTATTCAATGCAAAGGCATTCTTTTATAAAAGAAAATATACATTTATATCGATACACTTTTGATAATATACTTACACAATAAAATATTTCTTTATGAGATAAAGCATATGCTTATACCGATCAATTTCGGAGAGTATATTTATTTAATAGAGTAACATTTCTCTATCAAAGATAATAAACATTTTCATAAGTAACTTACAATCGATATATGTGTTCATCGATTTAGTATTCCTTTATAAGAGAAAATATACGTTTATATCGATGCACTTTAGATAATGTATATGTTTATTAAAGTAACATTTCCTTATGGAAGAAAATATATGTTTAGACAATATATTTACACAATGCAATATGTCTCCATAAAGGAAACCATATATTTACGTCGATGCACTTAAGGTAATATATTTGCTCAATAAAATATTTCTTCATGAAAGAAAGCATACATTTACAACGATGCATTTCAGACAGTATATTTGTTCAACAGGGTAACATTTCTTCATCAGAGAAAACATACGTTTTCCTTTATATACTTCAGACAACATACATAATCTTTAAATCAACATCCCTTTATGAATGAAAATATATGTTTAGACAATATATTTGCGCAACAAAATATTTCTTCACTAGAAGAAGTATACGTTTTTATTGATGCACTTCAGACATTATTATATCCAACAAAGGAATACTTTGTGAAAGAAGATGAACGTTTCATTGGATAAAGATTGAACAAGTTGTCGTTCGAGTAAACGCAAATAAGAAACATCATTTTTCTTATGAGTCTATAGTAGAAGACCCCCTTAATTCTTAAAAAGTCGGGAAATCGATGATATTCCATATGCTGGATGACTGTGAATACTCGTCCCGGCGAGCGTTCCCGAACCGTGACGCTCGGTTTCTGTTGATCAAGGCGAGATTTTTTAATTTTGTATACTACGAGAAGAATCGATCAGCGAGGGGTGATTCGATCTCGGTGGACGTTTCAACGTCTCGGGGAAGACCAGCTTCGACGCGCCCAAGAATAACCGACGACGATCGAAGCGAACAGCGGGGGTTACGTTGGGGAGTATTTATAGAGATCCAGTAGTGTAACCCAATATCTAATCAGACGACGTATTCGCGAAATGTCAGAGAAGAAAGCGCGAGAAGGGACTAGAGGAATGAAACGTAACTCGAAAATTCGAAATTTGCGTAGTGGAAGGTGCGTAAAAAAAGAATGAAATAAAGAAATAATCAAACGATTGAGTAAACGATGAGAACGAACGAGAGAAATGAAAATAGCGTCTTCCAGTTTGCGCTTTCGCTCATCGCTGCATAAGAATTACGCTTGTATCTTCGATTCCAGTATCCTTCGTCATCTCCCGTACCATTCCGTGGCACGATACGATCGATTCCCTTATAAACCGTTGTATACCAATCAAATTTGTCACAATACAGGATCGTTTATTTAAATGTAAATCATGTTGTCTCTCGAATCATATTCCCCACTCTCCTATCGATTACCAAGTAAGTCAGCGATATTTGCTTTCGAATAATAATCTACGTTTATTTTGCTATGGAAGCGATTAAGATAATTGAAACTTTATTCAATGGACATGACCCTCTTCAGGAATAATAAGCTTATAACTTATTTTAACGATTATTTGTTTATTTTAACTTTTACAAACTGGTACCTTGTTTAACTTTTAATTATCAACTGTTTTTATTCTTGTTGCCTTTCAAATGTTGTTTTTGCTTCTGACCATAGGTTGCGTGCAACCACGTGTTAACTTGTTGACATAATGTTATAATATTTTATAATCGTTTTACTATGATAAAATTTATTAGAAAATAATTATAAATTGACAAAGATCAATACTCACACTTCTTATATATTAAATAATAAAAGCATAAAAATAATTAAATAATTCAGGAGGAATCGTACCAATATTAATGAATGGGAGTCCATAATTCAGATGTTAATAAGGATAACAAATGACGAAAATTATACAATATTAACAAAAGTAAAAAAATTCTTAAATTTTAGTTAAAATATATAACTAATTGAATTCTATTTAAAGTTCAATATTTCAACGTCAAGGGAAATTTTATTTAACATTTGCAATAAGTACAAATTAAAAGTTCATTTCATGACATTTTTGGAATATATGTCCTTATTCAACTCAATAAAGAAATTAACAAAACAATGGTCAACTGCATATACACATATGTATATCAATTTTCCAACAATCACGAACAACAGTCTCGAAGAATGAAGAGAAAAATAGCTGTCGAGGTAAGTCAAGGACTTACACCTATTATGATAATCAAATCTCTTTTATTGCGGTGAAAGATTACAGTCTTCGTTTCTGCCTATTAGAAATTGCCCAACCGCAGTGCGGAACCGCACGTAATGATTTATGCACGAACTTGTCAGAAATCCTGGGGTACCGATGCAATTTGTGGCCTCAACGCATCGTTTGCAGTGAAAGAACACAAACGCTGTTTTCATATTAAGTACCCACGCCTGCATCTAATTATACTAAGTATCTAAATTTTAGTGTCGAAAGCTGCGAGAATACAAGCTGAATTAACATTTCAGTTTACCATTGAATATTTAAAATATTACTTTCATAAATATAATCGAAATATATTTTTATTTGCATTGCATCTATACACATTAAAAACTTGTTAGTGATTAAATACAATTGTTATCGGAGATAAAATCACAGGCGAAGTAAGAATACTTCTTTGATAATTAATTATAAAGTTAGATTGACTGAATTCTTCAATTGTGAACAGAGCATGCGCATTAAATAACAATTCGTGATTTATTCTGTCAGTAGTGTTTGCAAAGGAAACAAGATGAAACAGTCTTTAGAATAATAATCAGAATAAATTTATTAACTCGTAACTATTCTGTAAATATTAAACTTTTATGTATCTCATTTTATTTAAACTGACACACAGTGAACTGTAATGTATTTTACTGAAACCTCTACGATATTAACATCCTCTGTTCGTTGCTTTAAAAACTTTATTCCCTTTATCTTGTCTTTTTCGCAAACTGTACACGTGTTGTTAATTCTTCTTTAACTAACAGCATTAAAAAGTTATAAAAAAGTGTAGCATAACAAAGAGATGAGTGTCTGCGTTTGTGGTAAGAACAAATTAAAATCTTCTTTTATTAAATAATCAGGATGGATTTCATTCGTGCGTTAAACGCAAAAAAAGGCAA